AATGATCCCAAGCCGTGGCCGTGCGTGGTTGTTGTTGTGGTGGAGGTAATGACGCGTGAGAGGTATGAATGGGTACGATTGAATGTGTGTATGTGCGCGCGCGATTGTAAGTGTGAGTGCGTATGAGATTGGAAATGACAGGATTGACCGAACGAAATGCCGTGATTCATGGTCACACACACCCACACACACACAGACACATACACACACACACACACACACACACACACACACACACACACACACACACACACACACACACACAGACACACACACACACACACACGAATGCGTGCGCACCTTGAGCGATGGCCGTGGCGGCACGCTGGCGTATGTCTCGTCGCCGTCCGCGTGGCCCATGGCGTATTGGTGGGCAGCGTCACCAGCATGCTGGGCAACATCGTACTGCACCGCACCCTCCGCGTCCACGGAGACCTCGTGGTAGTCTGGGTTTGCCTCGTCAACGTCCGCCACCGTGAACTCGTGATAGTCTGGATTGGCCTCATCCATATCCGGCATGTTGTACACGTGTCCATCCGCCCCGCCCGTCTGCAGCCGCTGCAAACCGTCCGTGTGTGTGTGTGTGTGTGTGTGTGTGTGTGTGTGTGTGTGTGTGTGTGTGTGTGTGTGTGTGTGTGTGTGTGTGTGTGTGTGTGTGTGTGTGTGTGTGTGTGTGTGTGCGTGTGTGAGAGATGTGTGAGAGATGTGTGAGAGATGTGATGTGATGCGTTGCGAGACTGTATAACAGATTTCAAAAAGCAAAATACAACACAAAGCTGTGGCTGCTCAAGCACCCGCTAATAACTCCACCGCGTGTGCGCCCTGCTCCCCCATAAAACCCATTGTCGCCTGGTACACACGTTGTCGTAGATGGCGTTGGTGTCGGCGTATGTACCCGTGTCGTAATCGACTGCGGGATCGGCATATCTGAGCATGCGCACATGTGGAAGGAAAGTATGAACAGCGAGCACACAGCGACGGTGTGTGTGTGTGTGTGTGTGTGTGTGTGTGTGTGTGTGTGTGTGTGTGTGTGTGTGTGTGTGTGTGTGTGTGTGGTGTGTGTGTGTGTGCGTGCGTGTGTGTGTGTGTGTGCGTGCGTGTGTGTGTTGGAGTTATGGTTGCTTGCTCGCTCTTGTGTGTGTGTGTGTGTGTGTTGGCTTGTTCGGTAGCAACATAGGTGCCTGGACAGGAAATACATAGCACGTACGTTGGGTCTGCGTAGGTTGGTGTGGTTGGATGGGAGCCCTGCGATGGGAGAGAGCAACAAAGGAGGTGCGAGGCCAGCAGTGAACATTTTTGCTCAAGCAAGCAACCAAGACGAAAGACAATACTCAACAAACAAAACAACGCAGGTCTTCCAAGACAAGACGAGACGCAACAACGAAACAAACGCACCGCCACCGCAAGACAAACCAAAACAGGACAAAGCTAACACCAAACCGAACAAGCAAGGCGCCATGAAGCCGCACCACAACACCGTAGAGGTCCTGGTATTCCTGCTCGGTGAGAACCTGCTCGGCATACACCCCGTACTCATCGTCAAACTCTTCGTACTCCTGTGCCTCCGCTTCCTCGCCCGCCTGCACAAACGCCTGGCAATCGCAGCGGCACACAAGGGAGATGGTGATGGTCGTGAAGGGGGGGGGGGGTTGAGACGCAGTGCGTGGGAAGGTGGGCAGGAAGGCAACTATGTATGCGTGTGCGTGTTTCTTATTTGTGCGCTGGTGTGAATACGGACATGCAGAGTACCACATGAACGCCGCATCCACACACACACGCACACGCACGCACATCCACGCACATCCACGCACACACACACAATACCTGGCCGATGGTGGCGAGGACTTGGTTTGAGTGGGCGCCGCAGTCGAAGACGTAGCACTACACAGCGACAACGCATGCGTCAGAGTCCCAGCGTGGCAATTTGTCAATCGCATGTGGCATGGACACAAAGGTGAGGTGGTTGCAGTGTGAATGGGTGTGTGCAACATGGATGCAGTGGCTCGTGCTGCAATACTCTTCGCAGCAAAGGACGCGAGCGAGAGTGCACGTGGGCTGCGGTGAGCGTGTTGCAGACACGGCGCTTGGTTGTTGTTGTTGGTGGTGGTGGTGGTGGTGGTGTTGGTTGGTTGTACGCGTGGTTGGTGACATACCATACGCCCGAGGCGCGATTTGGCGACGTACGCCACCATGTCATAATCCTGCACGCACGCAGAAGAACAGCATCAATCGGATGTGAGAGAAGAGGAAGACACAGAGAGCGTGTGTGCATGTGTGTGTTTGTGCATGTGTGTGTTGTGTGCATGTGTGTGTGTCGTACATTACATGGCGACTACGACACACGACACATCACACACACACACCAGCAAAGCACGAGCGAAGACAGCCATGGCATGCAACACCAGGTGCGCACCTCAAAGTCGCCGCCTGCAGCGAATGAGATGGTGGTCATGCGGTGGAAGGCGATGACGGCGTCCTCGTGCTCCGTGGCCAGCACAATCCCCGCCGAGGAGATGTTCACAACAATGTCCTGCATCTTGATCTCGGGCTCCTCTGCATCCAAGAACTCCGAAAACATCTGTGTGTGCGTGTGTGTGCATGTGTTTGTGTGGGGTGTGTGTGGGGGGGGGGGGTGCGTGTAGGTGTTTTGTGGTCAGTGAGTGGATGAGGTTGTCAGCAGTTTTGCGTGAGTGCATTAAGAATATACGTGGCCAGTGATACTCGTCTGAAGCGGCTACATGAGCGTGTGAGGGATGTACTGTGTGGATACTTCTCCACGCAGACGAACACGCACCGCAGGCACTTGGCGTTCAATGGGAGGGCGTGTTCGCGCTTCTTCGCGCACGCGACAAATGGCCTCGCGCACAATCTGGACAACACAATGAGCCGCAGCCAGCGCAGAGCAGAACGTGAGGGTGGCTTCGACACACATGCATGTGAAACAGCCATGCGTCTACTGGTGCACGCAGCCGCCTGTCTTTCCATGGTTTGACGCATCAAGCCAGTACGGACCTTGTTTCGAACAGGGAACTCCACAGAGCGCAAACTCCGCGCGAGTGGGTGTCGTCCGACATATGTCACGGGAAAGCTGTCACATGCGCAACGAGCGAAACGTGTGAGCGAAAGCAACAGGGGTGAGTGAGTGAGTGACGACACAGGACGTGAACGAGGCTTGTGACAGCATCGCCAATCACACACACACACACACACACACACACACACACACACACACACACACACACACACACACACACACACACACACACACACACACACACACACACACACACACACACACACACCGACCTGAAGAAGACGCCTTCGCCATACTGCATGGCAAACTTGCTGTGAAGCCAGCCATCGTCAGGCGCTGTGAGGAACGAATCCTTGCGTGCCGCGAGCGGCTGATTTGCGCCGCCACCGCTGCTGTTCATCTCAGCGGTCCTGGTGCTTCTTTGCTTTGCTGTGGTTGGTGCTTGCTGGCTTAAACCCTCCCGCTTTTATCAGCTGTGATTGTGGGCGTGAATGTGTGCGTCAACCGACCACACACGAGCTCAAAACAGTGTGTGTGCCAAAAAGTGCACGAGCGGCAACAACAACAAAGGTGTTGTAGTGTGTGTGTGTGTGTGATTGCCGTGCTGATAGGCAGGAGGCTGTGCGCCGTAGTTGTTGTCGTTATTGATGTGGATGCTTGTTGCTTTGAATGCCTTCCTCGCCCACACCCCGCTCCGCAACAACGCATCGTCATGGTTGTGTGTGTGTTGGCAGCGGCATCGCTCCCATCTTCGCTCCCATCTTCGCTCCTGTTTCGCTCCAGCGAATCCGTCAGCAATTGCAAGCGACATGACAAATTGAGAAACTACGAGCATGATTTCATGCTCTTTTAAGGCACGTTGCAGCACGTTGCAAATTGCATTTTGCTCACTCACGGGAAGAAGCTCTCCATCCATCCTCTTGCCAAGATGTTGTTCTCGCGCGTGAGTGGCTATGGCTATGATGATGCTGATGATGATGGTGATTGTGGTTGTGACACGGTAGTGGTCGTGCTGATGGTGTGAGAAGCGGTGGACACCAGACAACAGAGAGAGAGAGAGAGCCCCTTGCAACTGTTTTCTTTGACTATGCTTTGGGTTTTGAGGTTGTGCAAGGGCGCACATCGACACACACACGCCCACACACACACACACCTACGCACTCACACGCACTCGCTCATTCACTCACTCACACACGCTCTTTCATCATTCGGTACACTGCAGGTGAACCGGAAAACGCTCGCTGCCGTGAGCGGCGCTGTGCGTCGCCTGGCCGCTACGCCCTCCAACTCCGTCACCGTCGCCAAGTCCCTGGCCTCTGTGCAGGCAACTGCCGCGCCCTGCGCTCGCCAGGTGCGTCGGCTTTCTTCTGCGGGCGTATGCTTCCCTCTGGACCAGAACGCACCAGCTCTCAGCAGCACATGCACCTGCTGCGGCATGCGGCTCACAAGCACACACACACACATATACATATGCTCACAAGCACACGCATACACACACATATGCTCACAAGCACACGCATGCACACGCACACACACACACATCTGATATTGGTTGCCGTGGGCTGCTGTGCAGGCCGTTCCCCTCCTTGCTGTGAACCGCCGGCACCTCCACGCTGCCCGCGCTCTCCGTACGTTGCTGTTTTGTGCTGATTGTTGCTGTTGGTGCTGGTGTACTTGTTGTTCTTCTTCGTTGTCTTGCTGTTCGTCTTCTAGTTTTGGCTGCTGCTCTTCCAGCTGTTCCTGTTGCCGCTGCCGCCGCTCTCATTTGTATTGTTCTCGTTGTGCCTCACACACTGACCTCATGCATGACTGGTGCGTTGTGCGTGCGAAGGCAACGGCGACGAGATTACTGTGCAGCTTCCCCCAGTTGCCGAGTCCATCTCCGAGGGCGAAATTGGCGGCTTTGAGAAAGGTTGGTTCGATTGAGAAAGGTTTTGTTCAGTGGGAAGGCTTGTGCACTGGCTCTCATCGGGTTTCGCACGTTGACATTGTTAAATGGGTGCCTGTGATACTCCCTTTACTCCCAACACATACACCTTGCAGTCAACTAACTCGCACTTCATCACCACCACCACCACCACAACAACAACAACACCATGCAGAGGTTGGCGACTATGTTGAGCAGGATGAGGCCGTCGTTGTCATCGAGACCGATAAGGTGTGTGTGTGTGTGTGTGTGTGTGTGTGTGTGTGTGTGTGTTTGCATCGGGGTAGCAAGCTTTGACCTTCATAGGATTGCTCCCCCTAAACGCTTTGCTGTCATTTGTGCAACCCGTTGCGTTCTTCGACCAAGACGACCCATCACTACCATGGCGACCACCACCACCATGCTGCGTTGCTCACACGTTTGCGCCCCTGCTGCGTGCTCTGCACCCACACAGACGAGCGTGCCTGTCAACGCACCACAGTCTGGCGTCATTACGGAGTTTCTTGTTGAGGAGGGCGACACCGTCCCCATTGGCGCTGATCTCTTCAAGATGAAGCCTGGTACGTGTGATTTGGCGTGGGTGTGGTGCACGCTTGGTCGCCTGTGTTGCCGAGCAACAAGGAGCACAAATCTTGTCGGTTTCTCCCCCCCCCCCTTGCAATCCTCCTTACACCTACCTCGGTCCTTTTCTGTGGGAAAAACTTGGTCGCGTGCACACAAAACCGTGCTCATACACCCACGTCCTTCATGCAACGTGCGCAACAATGCACACACTACTCACGAGCGAACGCGAAAACACACACACACATATGCACACAACATACTCACTTGAAACCAGGCGAGGCGCCCGCTGGCAGCCAGAAGCCCGCTGCAAGCGAGGAGAAGAAGTCTGAGGGGGAGGAGAGTTCTTCTGCCGCCCCTGCTGCTGACACCACTCCGGCCCCGGCAAAGGAGGAGCCAAAGAAGCAAGAGTCGAAGCCCGCACCCGCACCCGCACCAAAGAAGCCCGCACCAGGTCGGTATGCGTGCCTATGTATGTGCGTGTGTGTGTCTGTCTGCTTGTGTGCGTGTGCCTGTGTGTGTGTGTGCTTGTATGGAAGGGGTGCTCGCATGAATGCACGAGTGGTCGAATTACACCCATCCCTCTCTCTCTCTCACACATCTCAACACGACACCACACGACACCACCATGGCGTGTTTGTCTTGTCTGCACTGCACTGCACTACGATTAGAGTCTGCTGGCGGCGTGACGCGCGTGAAGATGACCCGGATGAGGAAACGCACGGCCGAGCGCCTGAAGGACTCGCAGAACACCGCTGCCATGCTCACCACCTTCAACGAGATTGACATGAGCCACATCATCGCCTTCCGCAACAAGCACAAGGACGCCTTCCTCAAGAAGCACGGCGTCAAGGTCGGTGGCGGCGTTTGCTTGAGTGTGTGTGTGTGTGTGTGTGTGTGTGTGTGTGTGTGTGTGTGTGTGTGTGTGTGTGTAAGCGGCAGCCCGTTGCCTTGTACAACAACTGTCTTGTACAGCAACTGTCTTGTGTGCCGTCGTCATCGTTCTCCCTTGTTTTGCTGTTTCGATTGCGTGATTCCCCCTCGTTGCGACTCAACAATGTGTTCACGTGTACCTGCGATGGGTGCAGCTTGGCTTCATGTCTGCCTTTGCAAAGGCCGCCGCCTGGGCCCTTGAGCGCGAGCCAGCTGTCAACGCATGTGAGTGGCTGGGAATGTCACACGTGTGTATCTGTCTATCTGTCTGTGTGTGTGTGTGAGGAGGTCTGTCTGTCTGTGCGTGTGTGTGTGTGTGTGTGTGTGTGTGAGGAGGTCTGCGTATGGGTGCCCGCTCGTCCCGTGTTCACCAAGCCTGATGTGGTGTTGGTGGTTGCTTGGCCACATCATCGTCTCACTCCGCCACGTGTATCGTACGTTTCCAACCATCACCGCAGTCATTGACACGGACAACGAACACATCGTGTACAACGAGGACATCAACATCAGCGTCGCCGTTGCTACCCCTAAGGTTGCGCATCCCCCTCGGTCTTGCACAATGGTGTCTGCCACCATCGCTTAATGTTGCTTGCACGCATAGCTTGCAAACACGGCAAGGCGTGGCTCCTTGTCATTCGCGCATATTGACACACATTTTCACACAAACGCGTGCACTCACACACGTATTCACACACACACCACGTATTCACGTTATCTACACCACACAAACACATGTTCACACGTGTGCGCGCACACACAGGGTCTGGTTGTGCCAGTTGTGCGGCGGGTGCAAGACATGACGTATGTTGACATTGAGCGGGAGATTGCGCGTCTGGGCAAGAAGGCGCGTGACGGCGACCTCGCCATTGAGGACATGGAGGGCGGCACCTTCACCATCAGCAACGGCGGTGAGATGCACGCGACCAATTACAGCAGCAGGGCTGGAACACAAGAGCGTAGAGTCATGCGTTCGTGGCTGCCTGTGCTTGTTTGCCTGTCTGTCTGAACGATACGGCTTCGTGCTCAATGTCCGCGTGTCGACCCCCCCCCCCCTTCTCACGCCCTTATTACTCACCTTCATCCACCACCACCACCACCACTACCACACCCTTTCGCTCCGCCTGTGCGTGCGCCAGGTGTGTTTGTCTCACTTATGGGAACCCCGATCATGAACCCCCCGCAGTCGGACATCCTCGGGAAGGACCCCACCTTTGACCGCCCCGGCGTCATTCACGGCAATGTGTGTCAGCACGTGGAGCCACGCCTCTGTGTGTGTGTGTGTGTGTGTGTGTGTGTCTGTCTGTCTGTCTGTCTGTCTGTCTGTCTGTCTGCATCTGTCTGTCTGTCTATCTGTCTGTCTATCTGCTTCGCTCTGCGTCGCTCTGCGTCAGTGCTGTCCTCCCTTTGACACCCTCACACTTGTCTCCCGCCACGCACCCGTGTTTGCATCACACATACACACTGTACACACGCGGTGCCGCGTGGCTGCAGGTTGAGATCCGCCCGATGATGTACGTTGCGCTGACGTACGACCACCGGCTGATTGACGGGCGTGAGGCCGTGACGTTCCTCAAGAGCGTCAAGGAGGCTGTCGAGGACCCCAGGATCATCCTCCTTGACTAAACACCCCGCCCTGTCCCCCCAATGCACAATGCACACATACACGCACACGCACATGCGCCTGCACACGCACATGCATCCGTGCATGCGATGCGTTCACCAAACAACACAAAGCCAACGCAAGTCAACGCCGAGAGTGTTGTGGCGGTGGTGTTTTGTTTGTTTGATGTATTGCGTGTGCACTGCTGTTCAAGTTTGTTTGTTTTTCTTCGTCTGTTTTGCTTGTGGCTGGCTGCTGTTCGTTTCGTGTGTCGCACCAGATGCTGTTTGTTGTGTTCGTTTTCACGCGTGCTGTCGTTCTGAGTTTGGTATCTTTCGAGTTCCGCACTCACCGTGTGTGACAGTTCTCAAAGAGTGCAATACCATTTCCCAACAAGATGGTGTACACAAATGAAAGCGGTGTGGCTCGAGGGACTCTGACGGATGCCTGGCTGTCATTGGCGACCGCACACAAGACATCATGTGGACCTCACATTCTCGAAATGTGCTACGAATCATATTGTTCGTGCAGAATTGTCCCTTGTCCCTTTCACAAATTTTCGCCTCATACGCGCGTGGTGATTCGGGAGGGAAGCAAACAGAAGCGACCTCTCTGTCTCTCACACTACGAGGGTGCTACTGCTTCCTTGCGCCATCCCTCCCCTCCCCCTTATTTTTTGTCTGGTGGGCAATCTGTTCGCTTCTACATGTTCAAGATTAGTGCTTGGGTAGCACATGCACCTCATAGCACGTCCCGTCATTGCTCTTGGACTGTTGGATGCACCACGTCTTTCATTTGTTCATAAATGGTCGGCATGAGTCACTCTGATGTTAATAAGAATATCACATGCAAGCAGCTGTCCTTGTCATGGTATGGTCGTTTCGTCACTGTCACAACTGTTATCCGCGTTACAACCAGACCTCCATGAATATCTCATGTCAACTTCCTGCTGCTCGCTCGTCTTCATGTTAACTGCTCAAGTTTACTTGCGAAATGACAAAGACCAGAAAAACACATGAAGCCCTCAACGGGGAACAAATATGCACAAAAGACGAAGGTCTTGCCCCCCCCCCCCTCATCCGCTTACCCCCGGCCATTTCCTCTTTCCCCCACCTCTCTCTGTCTCAACCTGTTCACTCTCTCACAATCTCTCGAACTCACCCTTGCGCGCGCACAGACAAACACACACACACACACACCAAACACACACACACACACCGTACACACACACACACACACACACACACACACACACACACTCACCGTGCACACACTAACCCCAGCGCTTTACACTTTCTCCACCCCCTCCCTAGTGCTACAGGGCCGTGTCTTCGTCGTAGTTCAACGCCTCACCATGATATCCAAGCGCAGTCGTGAACATGTGCACGCTGCTGGTGGCAGATGCATCTCCATCACGATCATCATGGCCGTGCTCGCCACGTCGCTGGTGGTGATGCTGACCAGGATGTTGCATGTCGTGGATGATGTCATATCCCCTCGCATGACCAGGATCCGAGAATGCAGGCGGTGGTGGCGGCGGCGGGATGGTGCGTTGAATCAAGTACGGAATGCCATCATCCTCCTCTTCCTGCCGCCTGCGCTCACGACCCGACTGGTGCTGGTGCTGTTGCTGGCCGTGCCCATGATGTCCAGTGTGTGTATGGTGCTCCGCGTGGCCGTGGCTGGGATGCTGCTGTCGTGCACCAGCGTAGAGCGCGTTTGTGCTCATGGTTGGCGGCTCGTCACCAACATCGCTCGCAAAGTGCACGTGCCCGTGGCCGTGGTGATGGCCACTGTGTGGCGTCGACGCTGTTGTTGTCGGACTGCCTTCGTCAATGGTGTGCGGCATATTCAGCAGTTCCTGCAACACAGAGGTGTGCACTGCCTTGCTTCGGAATTTGTGTACGGCCTCAGCAATGACACTGTCAGCCGACGCGTCTTCGCCTTCGCTATCGCCGTCACCACCACCGTTGTCGCTGCTGCCGTTGCCACGCACGTCTGGGGACGTCTCCCTTTGCAGCACCTTGGCAAAGTGCGCCAGGACTTGGTAAACGAAGCGCAGTTGCACGGGGCTGGGCATGAAGTAACGCCGCTTGCCAAGCATACTGGTGAGGATGCGAGGCACGTCCACGTAGTCCGTCTCCAGCATGCTTCGCATGCCAGTCATGCACACCATCAGCATCGACGACAGGCCGCCGCCCAGCGCATCGTGCACCACACACTCCGTGCGATCGTGCAGGCCCGTGTTGATGTGCACGAGGCACGCCGCTGCAAAGCGCGCAAACATGGCCGGTGTCACCTGCGTCGGGTCTGTCGTCAGCAGTTGCAGCTGCGTGATTGTCGCCACGCGCCCCGTGTGGCGGTGCTGCATCTTAATCTCCCGCACCACCCACTCTTCCTTCTGCTCCACGCTGCACACCTCCACCAGCATGCTGCCGTACGGCACAGCGTACCCTTCGTGCGCCGGCCAGTACTCGTTGCCGGGGGTGGAGTCCAGCACCGCCACCAGCTGCGCTTTGGAGTGGAAGCACATGCGCCAGAACGAGCTCCAGGACGGCGGAAGCGGCGTCTGCGCCTGCACAAACCCTTTCGGGTGGTCGTAGCTCTCAACAAAGCTGGCGTTGATGTAGTCGCCCATGCCCTCAATGGGCACGCGCACGCGGTTGAAGTCAAACGGCACATAGTCCCTGTTGCGGTTCAGCTCAGCGTACTCGCTTGCCGCGCGGTGCGGCTTCGTGCAGCGCGCCCTGCTCTGGCTCACTGCCAGCATGTCCTTGAACGCGTCCTCAGACTCCAGCAGCTTCAGGTGCGCCCCCATGTCGCGTGCGTGCACGCACGTCCCAAACGTGTACGGCGGCACGGGCCGTGTCAGGCGCAGGTCGGGCGCGTACTCGCACTCGTAGTCAGTGCCATCCAACTCAAACGTCACAGACACGGTGTCAGGCCCGCCGTGGTGCAGGATGGTCTCGTGGATGTGCGCGTGCCCGTCCGCGTCCGTGTCGCTCTCACGAATGCCGCTCATCGGGGTGAACGATGTCTCTGCCAGCGTCGTGCCCGGCTGCGCATCGCCCAAGTTGTAGAAGGACGAGCGGCGCGAGTCGAACAGCGAATTCCTCGACGTGCGGTGTGCGCGATCAAGCATCTCCAGCGTGTCCATTTGGTTCTCCAGGCGAGGGCGCGACGATGGGCCTTGCCCTTCATCCGCACCACCCTCGCTGCGGCTACGCTCAATGTCCACAGTGGTCACGCGTGGATGGCGGTGGTGGTGGTGGTGGTGGTGGTGGTGGTGGTGACGATGAACATCGTCATCGTCGTCGTCGTCGTCGTGCTCGTATGCGTGCTTGCCTTTCCGCTTGCTCTTCTTCTTGGTTTTCTTCTCGCGGCGATGTGGATCGACATCCGTTTCCTCGCCACCCTCAAACGCGGCGGCGCTCTCGCCCTTCTTCTGCTGCTCGTATGCCTTGAGCAGTGCTGGGCTCGTCCACGCCGACCGGCCCATCGGTCGCATCTCCTGCAAGGCGACGCAGCAGTGAGCATGCAAGCAAGAGGGTTGGTGTTGGTGTTGGTGTTGGTGTTGGTGACGGTGGTTGTGTGATGATGAGGTGGCGGCGACATGGACCACAAAGGGACTGACAAAACACACAGGCATGATCTCATGCACACGCATACACACACACACACACGTGCACACAAAGATACAAACGCACACACACACGTGCACACAAAGATACAAACGCACACACACACGTGCACACAAAGATACAAACGCACACACACACACACGCAAAACAACTCACCACGTCGTATTCAACGTCTCGCACGATGGAGGACGGTCCCGTGTCTGGAGCAACTTGTGGCGTGTTCAGCGCCTTGCTCTTCTTCGCACGGCTTGCGGATAGAAGAATGACAACCACCACCATGATGAGGGCGCCAACGCCAGCAAGTGCGATGACACCCGCTGCAGGCAGCGCCACGGCAGAAGATGTCGTCGCTCCTGCAAACATACACACAAAGAAAAACGTTCACACATGTACACAAGTGAAAGCGCAAGTACGCGAATGGCAGTGTGAGTGTGAGTCGTGCAAGTGCGTGAATGACAGTGTGTGTGAGTCGTTTGCTGTGCAAGAGCGGTCATTCATGCACACACACACACACACACACACACACACACACACACACACACGAACGAACGAAAGGACATCACCACAACCAACGCACCAACCAGCCGCTCCCGCCCCCAACATACGGCACAACACAACACAACACAACACAATACACACGGCTACATACCGAATTCCGGGTCGGGTTGGAAAGTGGTCGATGGCGAGGCAGTGCCACCAGCACTGGTGTAGGCGACAACGTAGAAGCTGTAGACGTAGTCTGCGGAGAAGGGGCCAATCACAACCGTCTCATCAGAGCCCGAGTACAGCACAACGTCGCCCTGATCTGGGGTGATGGACACCACATCGCGACGCCGCCGAGCGCCATCGTTTTGACTGCTGCTGCTGCTGTTGGTGGCAGCGGCACTGTTTGCAGCAAGCTGTGCACTCGCCACAAGCTCGAACCGCTCAATGCGGCCATGCGACGCTGTAGGGCGCGACCACGTGACTTGCACGTGCGTCTCATTCACCTGCACAATCACGGGCGTTGCCGGCGCTTCAGGCACGCCGTCCAGCGTTGCGCGTGCAAACCACCGCGTTGACGACGAACCACCAGTGAGTGTCGTTGTCCACAGCTGGTACTCGTACACCGTGGCTGGCTTGAGGCCCGTGTCCACGTAAGTGGTCCTGTTCACGTCACGCGTCGTGAAGATGCTCACGGAGCGCGTGTTGCAGCCATCGCTCTCGTCCGGGTAGCCTGCGTTGCACTGCTGCGCCTCGCGTCGCACGAGTGTGTTGCGGATAAACTCTGCCGGTGTGTCAAAGTACAGCGACCAGTCCAGCCAGATGCTGGTGCTGTTCATGGCAAGCGCAAACGGCTGCACAGCCACCTCCACCGTCGCCAGCGCAAAGCGCCGCGGTGCCCCGCTGTCCGCCACCCCGACCGTCAGCGAAAACCGTGACAGAACATCGTAGTCGAGCGGACGCAGCAGGACCAGGCTGCCGTTGCTCGCCAGCTGGACGGTGCCGTTGGAGAAATCGTCCACAAGGTAAAACGCCAGCTGCCCGTTGCCACCAGCGTCCGCGTCCGTGGCCTCCAGCGTTGTCAGCACTGCGCCCACCGCCATCGTTTCGGGGAAGGTGAAGCGAAGCACGTCGGCAGCAAACGCGGGCGTGTTGTCGTTGATGTCGTCGATGGTCACCGTGATGCGGGCGCTTGTTTCCAGTTGCGGTTCGCCAGCATCGCGCGCCACCAGCACGAGCGAGTACGACGCACGCTCTTCGCGATCAAACCGCACATGCGGCACGGGGCGCACAACACCCGTGGTGGCGTCCACCGTGAACAGGTCCATCGCACTCAGCGCGCTATCATCATCAGCAGCATCAACAGTGTCAGGGATGAGCTCGTACGTGACGTTTGACGCTGGCGTCTCTGGAGCATCAGCGTCTGTGGCAACGAAAGGACCACAGCGCGCAAACACAGTGTCACCGTCACCACTGCTGCTCGATTCCCGCTCCGTCTGCGGCCACTCTGTGTACGTGCATTCGTATTCCTCAGCAGCGAAGGCAGGCGCATTGTCGTTGACATCAAGCACGGTGACTACAAGGGCCACCTCTGTTGTCAGCGGCGCAGGCTCTGTTGCATCGCGTGCGCGCACAACAAGCGCAAAGGACGCGTTGGTCTCACGGTCGAGCGGTGTTGTGGTGGTGATTTCACCAGTCGCGTTGTCAATGGCAAACATGGTCGCGCCAGCACCGTGTAGCGTGTAGATCACCGTGGACTGCGGTGTTCCCGGCTGGTCAATGTCAGACGCGCGTGCAGTCACACACGTGTAACCGCTGGGCGCATTCTCCGGCACATCGCACGCGTATGACGCCAGCTCAAACTCTGCGGCGTTGTCATTTTGATCCTGGATCGTCACCTGCACCTCGGCCACCGCCGTCATGCTCACGGTGCCGCCATCGCTGGCAACAACCCGCAGCGTGTAGTCAGATGCAACCTCACGATCCAGTGCGCGGGTGATGGTGATGACACCGGTGGTCTCGCCAACAACGAAGCGTCCGCCCATGTCGTCCTCAAGCGCAAACGAGACTGCACCGTTGCTACCTGCGTCTCTGTCAGTCGCGCTCACAGTTGTGCAGAGCGAGCCCGCACCATCGGCGTTCTCCTCAAAGCTGCACGCATACCCGCTCGGCTGCGAGAACACGGGCGCTTCATCGTTCACGTCCAGGATGGTCACGGCAATGCTCGCGCTGGCCTGCATGGCAGGAATCCCGTTGTCTGTTGCCGTGACAGCAAGCACGAGGCTTGGCGTTGTTTCCCGATCAAGGGCGCCATTCACCACCACAGCACCCGTGCTGGCGTTGATGGCAAACAGGCTCGACCCTGTCAGCGTGTACGTGATCCTGCTGTTGACGGTGTTCGGTTCGTCCGCGTCGCTCGCCTGCACCAGCATGCACTCTGTTCCCACGCTCGCGTCCTCATACACGGCGCACGCGTATGGCGTGTTCAGCAGCACGGGCGCCTGGTCGTTGCGGTCCTCAAGACGCACCGTCACAGATACGCTCGACGTTTGCTGGAGGTCCGTGTTGGTTGCGCGCAGCGTCAGCGGCACCGTGTTACCAATCGTCTCCCGGTCAAGCGGGCGTGTCAGGGTAATGGCGCCAGTGGTCTCGTTCAGCGCGAAGGAAGAGGCAAGGCTGCCCTCAAGCTCAAAGAACACGGTGGACGCTGGCGTGTCCGGTGCATCCGCGTCTGTCACCTGCAAAGGTGGTGTGAGCTCGCACGCGCCCGTCGTGTTCTCTGCAATGGCGCAGCTAAAGGCACTGGCGCTGAACGCCGGAGCGTTGTCGTTGCGGTCCAGCAGCGTCACAGTGACGCGCGTTTCGCTGTAGCGCGGAGGGAACCCGGCATCTGTGGCGCGCACAACCACGGCAAGCTGCTGGTACAGCTCGTAATCCAGCGGCCCAGCAACGGTCACATTGCCCGTGCTGGGGTCAACAGCAAACGTGCTGACTGGAACCGAAGGGGCGTCAGCCGCAGGGTCGAGCACAACAACGGCGGCAACGCTGTACGTCACGGTGTTGTTGGTGGCATCGGCGTCCACAGCTGCGACCGTGTCGCAGTACACGCCGATGGCCGCGTCCTCCCACAGCGTGCACGATGCGTTTGCTGTTGTGAACACGGGCGTCTCGTCATTGCCGTCCACAACAACAATGAGCACTGGGAGCAACGCAAACATGCCGCCGCCATCTTCAGCTCGCAGCGTGAGGTTGTACGCTGCGCGCGCTTCACGATTCAGGCCGTTGTCGGCAACTGACACAACACCGGTCGCGGCGTCAACAGCAAAGAGAGCATCGGAGCCGTCGGCCGCAGGCTCAAGCGCGTACCACACGTTCCCCAGCGGCGAGTCGCTGCTATCCGCGTCCGTGGCGGCAAAGGGTTCTGGGCACTGGTACCCGGCGCTGTTCTCAGGGACATAGCACACGGCACCCGCTTCCACAAGCTCCCGGTCAAACTCGGGCGCGTATTCGTTCACCTCCGTCAGCACCACGTCCACCCGCGCAGGCTCTGCGGCTGACAGCGATGTCGGTGAGCCAAGGTCGTACGCGCCAACATACACCACAAACACTGGCTGTTGCTCTCTGTTCAGCAGTGCTGCTGATGCACCGCCTCGCGTGGACACGACGCCCGTCGTTGCATTCACCGTGAACAGCAGCGACGGCGAGGTGGTGGTGGAAGTGGTGGTGTTGGTGTCTGCGTTTTCGTCTTCATCGCTGGTGATGGGGAACCCCGTGGCGTTGACGAGAGCATAGCGCACGACGGCGTTCAGGCCTGCGTCAGCATCGCGTGCAAACACGGGCGCGGAGCATTCGACAGGCGGGGCAGCGCTGGCGGTGGCGTTGATGCGCGCATCCCATTCAGCAATCTCGCACGTGTATACTGGCGCTTCACCTGTCGCATTGCCTGCAAGCACAAACTCTGGCTCGTTGTCGTTGACGTCATCCAAGACGACGTCGACAGGAATGCGCGTGGAGAGCGAGGGCATGCCAGCATCGCTCACCACAACAATAACAACAAAGGAAGACTGCACTTCGCGATCAAACAGAGTTGCGTTGAGCACAAGGGCACCCGTGCTGCTGTTGATGGCGACAATCGGGTTGGCGCCAACACCCCATTCGCTGGGCGCTGTTGTACCTGCAATTGAATACGTGAGCGCTGATGCTGGCGTGTTCGCCGCATCGTCATCCGTGGCCACAACACGTCCACAGGACACAAGCCTCTCACCGCCAGCGATACCAGTGGCGCCAGCCCCATCCCGCTCCAGCACATGGCAGGGCGGCACACTCACAGCACGCGGCGCTTCATCGTTCACGTCAAGCACGGTGATGTACAGCGGCACCGTCGTTGCACGGCCGCCGCCATCTGTGGCAGTGATGTTCACGGTGAAGGCGCCCTCTTGCTCGCGATCAAGCACGCCGTCACCAGCGGGGCCGGACATGGGCGAGAAGAGCACGTGTGTGCCGTTCCAAGAGAAGCGGGCATCGGCAAAGGTGACGGTAATCTCCGAGTTTGGTGTGTTGGCTTGGTCTACATCCCAGAAGCGCAGCGAGGCCGAGGCTGGCGAGCACACTTGCAGCGCCGTCCTGTTTTCCACGAGGGAGCACGCGTACGAGGCAGCCGCAAACTGGGGCGAGTTGTCGTTCTCGTCCACAACCGTGATGCTAACGCGTGCAAGGTTTTTACTGGCTCGCGGCGGGATGCCGGCATCAAACGCCTCAACGTACAGTGTGTAGTTGGAGATGGTCTCTCGATCCAGCTCCAGCGTGGTCGTGAGCTGCCCAGATGTGGCGTTGAGAGCAAACGGCAAGGCCAGATCACCTTCACCACCACCACCACCGACAACGCTGGTGCGGTTGGCGCTGGGAAGCACAAGGCGATAAGACACGGCCGCGTTGGCGCCAATGTCCGCATCGTCGGCGTGCACAACCGTGCACAGCTGCCAAGCAGGCAAATTCTCCCGGATGGCGCAGGTGTAGTTGAGCTGGTCGAAGATGGGGTTCTCTGTGTTCACGTCCAGGACCTGCACACGGACGGTGGCGAGCTCAGGTGCCTCAAGCGGCGGGCTGCCGTTGTCGCGGGCACGCACGGTCATGACTGCAACCTCTTGCCTGTCGCGATTCAGGGGCTCACGCACGTAGATGTCCCCCGTGGTGGCGTTGACGCCAAAGGAGGTCGAGTTGCTGGACACGAGCGTGTATGTGACGCGGGCGTTTGCGTTGCCTGGTTCGTCCCCATCCACAGCCAGCACACGCACGCACGCGTCGCCAATGCTGGCGTTCTCGTAGATGGAGCACGCGTACATGTCGTCGGTGAAGACGGGCACTTGATCATTGACGTCCTGCACCGTCACCCGCATGAACCCAGGCTGCGTGCTCGCCAGGTTGGCGTCGTCCGAGGCCACAAACGCGAGCAGGTACGTTGCCGTGGTTTCGCGGTCCAGTGGAGCGGTGAGCGACACAGCACCCGTCGACTCGTTCACGGCGAAGACGGGGGAGGAGAAGTTGGGAGCAAACGCATAGCGCACCGTGTCGCCTTGTTCGACATCCATGGCAACCACAGACCCGCACACAGACCCAAGCGTCGCATTCTCGCGCAGGCTGCACTCAAACAAGGGCTGGGTAAACTCTGGCGCCACATCGCGCACGTTGGTCACAAGGACGCGCAGGGTCACAACGGAGGACGAGAGTTGCGGTGATCCGCTGTCGTGCGCCTGCACGCGTAGCACATGCTCGCGTGTCGTTTCGTAGTCAAGTGCACCGACCAGCTCCACCGTGCCGTTGGCGTGAACGCGGAACAGCTCGGACGGGTCCAGCAGCTCCACAACAACGGCGCTGTTTGCGGTGTTTGGCTCATCGGCATCTGTGGCAGCAAGGCCAAACGCCAGCACGCTACCGACTGCAAGGTCCTCCGGCACAGTCACGTTCGTGCTGCCCTCTGCGACGAGAAGCGGGCGGTTGTCGTTGACATCTGTCACGCGCACGCTGACGAGGACGGCGCCACTCAGCTGTGGCCTTCCCGCATCGCGCGCGACAAGGCTGAACGTGTACGTGTCGTTTGCCTCGCGGTCGAGAGCAGTGACGAGCGTCAGCGACGGCCGCTCTCGGTCGGTCGTGTTGAACAGGAACGGCAGGCGAGACAGCTCGTATTGCGCGATGCTGTAGGACACGCGTGACGCGTTGCCCAGGTCGTAGTCCACCGCTGTGGGCAGCGCAAGCATCGTGTTGAACGCTGCGGCCTCAGACACCTCGACGGTGAACTGCGCCTGACCAAAGTCTGGCGCGTTGTCATTGATGTCTGTGACATTCACGGTGACGACCGCCTGTGCGGAGAAGAACGGCGATGCGGTGTTCTCTGCGCGCACAACCAGGCGATAGAACGCCTGCGTCTCGCGGTCCAGCGTGCCGACAACAAGCACGTGACCCGTGGCGTTCACATCAAACGCGCCGTTGGAGTTCCCAGAGACGATGGAGAAGCCCACAGCTGCGTTGTCCCCCACATCCCTGTCGCTCACGCTCACGGCGCCAATGCTCTCCTCCGCCGGGGTGTTGCGTTCCGCCACGCTCAAGGCGTATGTCGCCTGTGAGAACACTGGCGGGAACTCGTTCACGTCCTGCACGGCTATGACCACAGTCAGGTCCTGCGCCACAATGGGCGGCGTGCCGAGGTCCGTGGCGCCAATGGTGATGGTGATGGTGTCCACAGCCTCCCTGTCCAGGGGCGACTGCAGCGTGAGCACACCAAAGAGCGCGTCCAGGCTCACCTCCACCGCGTCTGTGGGCGAGATTGTGCGCACAAAGTAGCGCGGGATGCCGGCAATGCCCTCGTCCGCGTCCGTGGCGTTCACCTGCACCAGCACGGACCCCGGCGCGGTGTCCTCTGAAACGTCCAGCACCAGTGTGGTCGGGTGGTCCCAGGTCGGTGTCTCGTCGTTCACGTTGGTCACGGTGATGCTGACGGGCACGGGCAGGGTGGGCCGCTGGCCCGCTTTGCTGTTGGACGCCGTCACCAGCAGCTGCACGGTGCGCAGGCCCGCCACATCGTAGTCAAGCTCAGACGCAACGCGCAGCACGCCCGTGGTGGCGTTGATGGAAAACAGGCCGGCGTGGCTCGGGTTCGACGGAGGCTCCAAGAAGAAGTAGATGTCGTCGTTGACGTCCAGGTCTGTGGCGCTCACGGTCAGCACGGGCGTACCAACTGGCGTGGTCTCCGGAAGCGAGGCTGCGTAAGCGTCCTCGTCAAACACGGGCGCGTTGTCGTTCACGTCCTCCACATACACGCGCACGCTGGCCGTTACACTGCGCGGCGTCGGCACGCCCGCGTCTGTCGCAGACACAAGCACGAGCAGCGAGGACGCGCCCGTGTCTTCGAAATCGACGTTCTGCACCAGCCACAGCTCGCCCGTGGCCGTGTCGAGTGAAAACAGGCTGGCGTTGGTATGGGGGACGGTCTCCAGCGCGAGCGACACGCGGCCATTTGCACCGCTGTCATCGTCCGTTGCCCAAACAACGCCCACAAGGTGTGGCAGCGTCACGTTCTCCGAAACGGCAAACGCAAACTGGTTGCTGCCGGGTGGGTTTGCGTTTGCAAACACGGGCGAGTTGTCGTTGGCATCGACAACGCTGACTTCCACAGTCACCGTGCTTGTGTGCTGCAAGTCTGGGCCCTGGTCGCTGGCTGCAATCTCAAGCGTGTATGCCGTTTGCACCTCATAGTCAACGCTGTGCACGAGCAGCTCGCCGCTCACAGGATCGATGCTGAAGTTGCCAAATGGATCCCCAGAGACAAGGGCGTAGCGCACGCGCCCGTTGTCGCCGAGATCCGCGTCAACCGCAGACAGCGCGAGCACGACTTGATCCGAGAGGGTCTCGGACACATTCACCGCATAGGCGCTGGCTGAAAACTCCGGCGTGTAGTCGTTGACACAGTACGCCGTTGGCAGTGTGTTGTTCACCAGATGCAGGGGCGAGTACTCTGATGGCACAAACACGGTTGCGTTGGTGCTCGTGGTCAGCGGCAGCACGGCCAGCAAGTCGCCCTCGTACACCACAGATGATGACGATGACGATGATGACGATGTTCCGACGTGCAGCGTGACAAAGGCCTGGCTGGGGTCGCTCTCGTTCTGGTTCGATACTTGCACAAAGGACACGCCAATGTTTGTGAGGTTGAACGCAGATGCACTTGTGAGCGCAAACGTGGCGTTCACACCCGCAGCAGGCGCCAGGCGCACCAGGCCGCCATAAGGCCCCGCGGTCCTGTTCACCGTGACCAGCGCCTCGCCGGTGCCCGGGTCCATGTACGTGCTGTCGTGGAACTGCTGCTGGAAGGCAGGATCGTTGGATGCCAAGTCCACAAACAGGTCGATGCGGGTGTTGCTGCCAGACAAGGTGGCGGTGATGTTGAGGCTGCATGATGTGAGTGGCGAGTCCACCGTGCTCACGGCGGCCTCTGTCAGGATCTCCGCACGCTTGTTGAGGAAGTTCTGCAGCGCAATGAAATCACGCGTGTCCACGGTTCCGTCGCGATTGACATCCAGCTCGCTATCCACCACCGCATTGCGCACCATCTCGCTGTCCTCCAGCGTGAAGCCGCTCGCAGCGTGCACGAGATAGAGCATGAGCAAGTCGCCATCCGCACCGTCAAACACGCAGTCGCCGTTCACGTCTCCGCGCGGGCGGCCCCCGCTGCCGCAATCGTCCATCTTCACCGTGTTTCGGCGCACACGCTTCCCTGCGTGGATGACTTCAGCAGGGGAGGGAATGGTTGCACCTGGTGCACCATCACTGTCGTCAACAGGAACACCGTGGGCGTCAGCATTGTCGTTGTCATTGTTGCGATCGTTCTCCTCGCTGTGATCAAGCTCAGAATCGCTCACGAGATCACGACGACGGCGGCGGCGCGCGTAGAGCGAACACGCAGTGCTGGGATCGTCACCAGCCCCGCTGCTTCCTCCACTCATGCTCACGGGCAGCTCTGCCTCACCTGCGATGATGGGATGGGGCTGCGCTCCAATACTGCTTCCTGAATCGTCGCGTGCGCTCAGCACTCTGCCGCTCACGGTTGCTGTTGGGGACGTGCGCTTCGGAACAACTACGACAGTGCCCAACAACACGCTGCCATCGTCCCCAGCAGCAGCAGCAGCAGCAGCAGGTGAGCTGACGGTGAGGTTGAATATGTGCTCATCAGTGGATCCGGCAGACGAGACCACGGACACGTTTGTGGCGGGCACAAACCGCTCAAAGGTGAGCAGCGTCAACGGCAGCTCCACCACCATGTCGAGGGAGGCGAGCCGCTGGGAGCTTGGGTTGAAGCGCACAGCAAAGCCGTACTCCTGCGCCAGCACGGCGCCAGAGAAGGTCAGGCCCGATTGCTGGCCAAAGTCAACGTCGCCCATATCCGGCTGCAAGTTCACGGTGAGGCCAATGGCCTCCGACACGAGGCTGGACACGCCAAGCGCGTCGGCAACAATGCACACGGAGAAGCGTGTATTTTGCAGCGGTGTAAGGGCGCCCGAAGACGCGCCAACCTCCAGCACGCTCGGCGTTGTGGATGTGAATGACACCAGGCCTTCAACGGCAACATCACCTGTTGCCGGCGACACCACGCTCGGGTACCGGGATCCGTCCGCAAACACGACGTCACACGTCACCCGCGCCGCAGTGGTGTTTCGCACACCTGAAACCACGTCCACATCAACGACGCCTCCCTCGCCCTCGCCCGGTGCGACGGCACGCAAGTTATCCAGCGCAGCAATTGCCACAGCATCGTTCACAGCGGCAGCCGTGATGACCAAGGCTTGCTCGGCAGGCAGCGTGGGCGAACTTGCGCTGCTGAACGTGGCCGCGATCACGACCCGTTGTTCCGCTCCCGTGCTTGATGCGCTGAGTACAAACGACTCACTGCTTGCACCATCACCAGCATTGACATCGGTGTTGAGCGAAAACACGCTGGAAACAGCGAGGCGGTCGCCTGTGGTGGCGTTGGTCAAGAACACGGCCGTGTCGTTGTTTGCGGTCACGTCCACAGTCGAATCATCGCTCAGCAGCAGCTGAACGCCCAGCGCAGCCTGCTGGTACACACCAGACTGGCCCATGGGCCGAAGCCGCGTGCGCGACACTGCATCTGAGCCAGCGTACCTTGGGTACGGCGTCGCCAGCACTTGCAGCCCCGTTGTCTGCACCACCGTGATGGTGGTGGAGGCAGTGCCAGCCAGGCTCGCAAAGGACACCCACACGTTGTACGCGCCTGCGCTGGCACCTGGTGCAACAGACACGATGACACCCTGCCCAGCATCAGCATCAGCGGAGAGCACAAGCCCATTGTCAAGTGTGAGCTGCGTCTGCGGGTTGCTGGTCATGTCCTTTGTGCGGCCGTCCACAAACGTCACGAGGACACGCAGCGTGGTGTTGAGCGAGAGGCCCGCCACAGCGGCGGCATTGTCACCTTCAACACGCAGGCGGGTGGTCTCAAGCACAAGCTCCACGCTGGCAATCTCAGGCAGGGTGACTTGGATGTCTGCTGTCGTGCTGTAGTTTACAGCCGGACACGGCGAAAACGTTACAGACAGCAAGTCGCCCTCGCCAACACCACTGGGCACCACAACGCCATCATCCGACACGACCACGACGTCTTCATTCAGGGACGCGTGCGAGACCACACTGGCGCTGGCAGGGACGGCAATCCACGTGCCGTCGTCCAAATACAGGTGGGTGACCACCTGCGCCGTGCTGTTCTCAAAGTCCTCAAGTGGCCCTGTTGTGATTGCATCCACAACCAGCGTGGATGATGATGACGATGATGATGATGACGATGAAGATGATGATGATGATGACGATGACGATGATGATGATGATGACGATGATGATGATGATGAAGACGCGTCGCTGTCCTCATTTTCAGTTGCAGCAGAAGAAATAGACGCGACAACAGACGCCTGCAGGTCAACGACGGCGGCAGCACGAATGCCAACGGGTGACACCGTCTCCACGCTGGTGACTCGGACGAGGGGCAGGAGGGGCACACCGAGGGATATCGAGACAATGCCATCGCTTGAGGCAGTAACGACACCATACTCATCCACCGACAGCACATCTGGGTTGGACACTTGCAGGCGATCAGCGACGAGAGACGTGATTTGCAGCTCCTCCTCAATGTCTGCGTTGTCGGTGAAGGTGACAAGCACATCCAGCTGGCCCTGCTGATACAGCGTGCCATCAGCACTGCTGCACGCGGAGAAGCTGACAGCGCGCAACGTGGTGCTGGGGCTGAGCACGGCTCGCGGGTCGCCCGCTGGTGCCAGCACAACAAAGGTCAGGTTGGTTGCGAGCTGTGGCTCCGAGACAAGCGTAATCGACACTTCCACCTGTGCCGACGGCTGTGTGGTGCTGCCATCCATGAGCACAGACTCGCAGCTGGCTGCGGTGGCCAGTGCGGTGGCATCCGAAGACGAGCACTGCAGGTCGTCTGCGCTTGGCGTGCGCACATCGCCGCTCACGTACACCACAATGTGGGACAGGTCCACCGCCACCTCGTCTTCCGTGAGCGAGTACGTGTTGATGAGGCGGTGCTGTGGAGAGAACGACAGCAGCCGCACAGGTTCATCCACAAACAGACGCACACGGCCCTCAGTCGATGCGCCCTCGGCATCCACCAGCACTCCAGCCGTGTTGGCAGGAACGGCAGCCGTGCCCTCAAGCGTGGTCGCCGCTTGCACGGTGATGGACAAGGTCACGGCGTCCTGTGCCACACCACGCGGCAAGTCAAGGGTCACTTGAACCACGCTTCTGCGCGCGTTCTTGGGGAGCGCGTTGGAGCGCTTTGACGCATACAGAAAGAAGAGGGCCTGACTGGATGTGGTGTCCACCGTGTGCTGGTCCCACCGCTGCGCGTCAAAGGCAACGTCGGTGATGTTGGCGTTGTCCACGGCCACGCGGAACTGCAGCGAGGACACGCGCACTTGGAAGATGGCCTCCACATCAATGGTGAGCGTCGTCCGCGGCTCTTGTGGCTCGGGTGGCAGCACCGCCACCAGGTTGTTCTTGACCGACGACAGGCTCGCCTGCTGGCGCAGTGTCGCATAGACGGGGTCAGCCTCCACCCACGTTGTTGCTGTGGTGTCCGTGTTGGCATCCGTACTGTTGGCGGCGGCAGCGTCTGCGGTGACTTGCAGGGCCGCCGTGATGCGAATGGATTCGCTCGAGCCCGCGTCGACGACGGAGAACCAAGATGAAGGCACCGTCAGCCGCAGCAGGCACGATCCCGTTTCCTGCGACGTGTTGCACGCGGCCGTGAAGTTGCTCGGGTCCAGCGTGCTCGCCGTCACCGGCATGTGCACCACAACGCGAACGCTGCGCACAGCAGCGCGCGGGTTACCATCGGGTCCCCGCACGTGTGCGAACAGCACAATCTCGTCTCCGGTCGACCACACTTCACCTTGCAGCAGGTCGACAACCACGTATTCTGTGGAAGCCGACGTGCTGTTGCCGCTCCCGCTCGAAGAAGCGTTGGGTGCTGAGGAAGGCGACGACGAGGATGAGAGGGGAGGCAGGGCAACGTCAAGGGCGGCGCTTCTCTCCCCGATACTCGCCTCCACTTCGGCGCGCGTATCACTGAAGGAGAGGGAGGTGAGGGCCTGCGAAATGCTCAGCGATGCGCGGGACGGTGTGCCCTGGAACGCAGCCACGCTGGAGCGCAGCATGGGTGCCACCACATCCGCCACAGTCAGCTCGATTGTGGTCTGTACAGATTGCCGCACGCCAGCCACCTCCGTGTCGGTGGCCTCCACAACGACGCGCTGTGTTGGCACACGCGACGTCCCAGACACATTGAACAGGACCTGGCCGTCTTGCAGCACAATGAGGGGTGCGCTCCCACCGTTGTCTGCGCCACTGCTGCCGCCTACAACGGCAAATTCGACCGCGTTGTTGCCAGCCACATCTGCATCTGCCGCAGTGAGTTGGGCGAGAAGCGTGCCAACACGCGTATCCCAAGGCACAATCAGGCTCGCGTTCACAGAGGCAGGGGTCAGAACAGGCAGGTTGTCGTTGAGGTTCACAACCTCGATGTCCAACTGCAAGAGCGGTGACTGCAGTGCAGGATCGCCCATGTCCACAGCACGCACGCTGCAGGTAATGGCCTGGACCTGCTCATAGTCCACGTCAGCAACGCGCAGCTCGCCCGTGGTCGCATTCAAGCTGACCAGGGACGGGTGCGACGCGCTCTCAAGCACAAACCGCACTTGTCCCCGCGGCCCAGAGTCCGCGTCTGTGCTGGTGAAGGTGGTGAGCAACACCCACTGGCCCGCGTTCTCGCGCACGAGCAGCTGCGTGCCGTTGGCAGAGCGCAACGTCGGTGCGTTGTCGTTGATATCCGTCACTGCAAGTGTGATGGGCACAAGCACCGTGTGCGCTGATGCATCATCGTCGCTGTCACGCACGCGCACTTGCACAGTCACCGAGGGTCCTGTTTCTTCGTAATCCAGCGGCGCTGTCAGGAACACGTGCCCAGTGCTGTTCACGCTGAAATAAGCGCCCGCAGCAAACCCTTGGTACACGGGCACGATGGTGAAGGAGAGTTGAGTCACCGCAGCGCTGTCTGCGTCCTGCACCACCAACGCGGCCACGAGCAGCGGCGTGCTTGTCGCGTCTGCTGGCAGCGCCGTGAAGTTTTCGCTGACAGCGGTGACACGCTGCTCCACACGGGTGATGTTCGGTGCGTTGTCGTTCTCATCCTGCACATTCACAACCACGTTCAGGTCTGTGGTGACCTGCTGCGGCGATCCGTCATCGCTGATGCTGAACCCGAGCGAGTACGACTGCGTTGTCTCGTAGTCGAGAGCACCCGCAATAACCACGCGCCCATCTGCTGTCAGGCTGAACGCTGGCGGCGCAACGCCGGTTGCCCGGTCAACGAGATCAAAAAAGGTGAGGACCGTGTCGACTGCATCCAAGTCGTGCGCCTGAATCGTGTCCACAACATCGCCCACCTGCGCCAGCTCAGACACGGGCGCCAGCACCTGGCCTGGCACATCGAGCTCTGGTGCAAAGTCGTTGGTGTTGACCACGGCCACCGTGGCGTCGATGGTGAGGCTGCGAATCGCGGGCTGCGTCATGGTGTCCTGCACGAGGATGCGAAGCGAGTACGAGCTTGCGGCTTCATAGTCCAAGCTCTCTGTTGTCTGCACAACCACCTCAAACGTGGCTGCGTCCGTCTGGTTCACAGTCACGGAGAACGCTGACGTGCCAGCGACGACAGCACCCGTTGGTGGCGTGTCCTGCTCATCCACGGCCACGATGATCAAGCCAGTGCCGTCCATGGGCACAACGAGGCCGCCGGGGCCAGGGTCCTGGTCGCTCACGACAGCACGGATAACAGTAACGCCGCTGCCGGCATTCTCTTCCACGGGCGTCTCTGTGAGGGAGACGAGCGATGGCGTGACGTCGTTCACGTTGCCAATGCTGACAGCGATTGTGGCCGTGTCTGTGAGCGCAGGGTTGCCCGTGTTGCTTGCAAGCACCTGAATAGTGTAGGACGCCTGTGCTTCGTAATCCACGCCATCACCAACAAGCATCACCTCGCCGGTGACCGACGAGACAGTGAACAGGCCCTCGCCAGACACAGGGTCCACGCTCTGCACGGTGAGCGCGGTGTCGCGGAAACCTGGCGTGACATCCGCATCGTCCACGTGCAGCGTGGCAATGACAGTGGGCGTGCTCACGTCCTCGGACACAGACACCGCGATGGACGTGTTGGCAAAGCGGGGCGGCTCGTCGTTGACATCTGTCAGCGACACAATCACAGGGACAGAGGTCGACATGCCCTGGGCGCTGCCGCTCCGGTCCGTGGCCACCAAGGTGAAGTTCCACACCTGCTGCGTGTCAAAGTCAGTCAGGCTGCCGTCCACATTCAAGTACACGATGGTGCGTCCACCGGCTTGGAAGGGCTGCACGGTGAAGGGGAAGTTGGGGTTGCCTGTGGCCGCGGGGATGGCTGGGCTGATGGCACGGTTGGTGCCGCTGTCAGCATCAGACACGGTCATGACCAGCAGCGGCTGGCGCGTCACGCCCTCAGCCACGGATATGCTGTACTGGGCTGCGTTGAACACGGGCGCGTTGTCGTTGATGTCGCTGACAAACACGGAGAATGTTGTGGTGCTGGCTGCCCCGTCTTGGTCCTCGGCAATGAGGGTGACGCGATAGGTGCTGATGGTCTCCCTGTCCAGCGACAGTTGCGTTGCCAGCGTCACCTCAACGTTCCTTGCACCGTCGGCAGTGATGTCGTCGTCTGTGACAGCGAGCGCAAAGGGCTCTGCTCCGTTCAGGGGCACTTGCACACCCAGCGGCGACGTGGCGCGCACGTTGCTGATGCGCACAGTCATTGTGTTAAAGGGCTCCCTGTCTGCGTCCTGAAAGATGGCAGTGCCAACAAGCTGTCCTGCATCCTGCTCCTCGGCCACAGAGAAGCTCGTGGTGTCCGAGATGAGCGCTGGTGTGCGGTCGTTCACCTGGGACACCGACACACCGACGCAGACAGCATTGGAGATCAGGCCTTCTTCATCACGCACGCGCAGTTCTACCGTGCGCGTGCCCGTCTGTGGCTCGTCGGCACTGTCCTCAAACGTGACGCCAGCAATTGCTTGCATCAGGTCATCCACGGTCGCACCGTCGCTGAGCTCCAGCGTGTAAATGCGCGCCGCACCACCGCCACTGGGCAGTGTCGTGGTGGTTGTGGTGGTCTTCAGTGCCGGCGCTGTTGTTGTTGTTGTTGTTGTTGTTGTTGTTGTTGTTGTTGTTGTTGTTGTTGTTGTTGTTGTTGTTGTTGTTGTCGTCGTCGTCGTCGTTGTTGTTGTTGTTATTTGCTCACGTGGGAGCAAGCAAGGATCAGCGGTGATGGTGGACACGGAGACCGAAGATGCAGGCAACGATGACAGCAGCTGCTCCTCAGTCACGGCATCCAAAATGCCTGCAAGCACCAGCTCAATGCTGGCCACGCTTGCGCTGTCATCCCAGAACGCCAAGTTGGAGACGTTGACGAGTGACACAGGCGCCCCACCCTCCACAAAGGCAGGCTGGGCGCCACGTGGTGCCAGCGTCAGGATCGGTGCGTCGTTGACAGCTTGCAGCTGCATGTGCACATCCACGCGCGTGCGTCCACCCTGCGCGTCTGTGACACTCAGCTCAAGTGCGCGGCCGCTGTCAACGTCTGTCAACTCACCAGCACCGTCCACATAGAACAGGCCGTCGAGTACGAGCTCGTACTGTCGGAGCGTGGCGATGCCAGACACGCGCACAGCGTGTGTGCCGTTGCCCGAGAACGACATGGCACCACCCTCAGCCTGCAGCAGCTGCCAGGCTTGCTGGGTCGGCAGCAGGAGCAAGGCTTCATCATCGCCATCACGCGCATCCAGAAGCTGCAGCACAGCGCTGGAGAGCCTGCTCGAGTCCACATCGCTGATGCCAACGCCACTCGGGAACACGGCCGCAGGCTCACCCTCCTCCGCGTACGTGCCAGCACCGCCAACATCCACAACAGGAAGGTCGTTGACACCGACAAAGTTGATGCTGACACGCGCAACTGCGCTTGCAGCGCCTTGGTCGTCCTCAACCTGCACGGCAATCTCCCGCGGCTGTGTCGGTGGCACATCAAAGCTGTGCGCGTACACAAGCGATTCAAGTACGCGCGTGAAGTCAGCGAGGGAAGCGGTGCCGTTCACCACCAGCGTGTCCTCGCCCATCTGCGTCACGGCCACGCCGGCTGGAAGCGGAGTTGCGTCAATAGCGATGGTCTCCGTTGCATTCTGGCGACCGTTCAGCCACACGCGTGCGTATGACAGTGTTGCAGAGTCCACGTCCTCCAACACCAGGCCAGCGAGCGGAGCCAGGCCTGACTCTGTCTCGTTGTAGGTAACGCTTGCTGCTGCCACCGTGGCCACGGGAGCGTCGTTCATTGGTTCCACCACCACGGTCAGCACGGCCGCCTGTGATTCCCCAACAGCGTTGAAAGCTGGTTGTTGTTGTTGATTGGTGGTGGTGTGTGTTTGTGATTGGTAAGGTGAAGGCGCAAAATACGTTGCACAAGCAGGTATCACGTTGCAACCAACAGAGCACACACACACGCACAAAAAAAAACCGATGTTCTGGGATACACTTTGCAACATAATCACACATGCATATGCGTGCACGTGTGCATACTCGAATGTGCTTACCTGTGATGCGGACAGCAACAGGTACTGGAGCGTCGTCGAGGGGAGCAAACGTGATGCTCTGCAGAACTTGGTTGTACATCGCCAAGCCGGCAGCACCCGTGACGACGATTTGCATCTGGGCGCTGTCGCACGACACACCACTGGTACATGTCACAGCCAGTGCGTTGGTCTGCGGTGGAGAGCTTGCCTCGATAGCCACACGCAACTCTGGCAACGAGACACAGGTGCACAGCCATCACAGAGATCAAATTGGGATGGAAGCACAATCGAGAGGCCGACGCGGGTCACCATGAAACAGACATGTACAAACAAAACACACGACGACATGTGCACATAAATACGCACACGTCCACGCACACGCACACGCACACGCACACGCACACGCACACGCACACACAGACACAGACACACAGGCACAGGCACACGCACACGCACACGCACACGCACACACAGACACAGACACACAGGCACACACACAGACACAGACACACAGGCACACGCACACACACGGACACACAGGCACGCACACAGACACGCGTGCACACACTAATCCCCCTCCCCAAAACACACCTGTGATGTCCCAGGTCCCCGTGTCCTGGTCGATGATGGCAGCGCCAGAGAAAAGGGCGGCTGGGCTCTGCTGCTCTTGCACAGTGGCTGTGATATTGATGCTGGAGCCAGCAGCATCCAGCAGCACAAGCGGAGGGTAATCTTGCACAAGGTCAATGACGATGGTGGTGTTTTGCGACGTGGTGTACAGACCGTCAAAGACCGTTACGACCACACGGCGTGTGGCGGCAGCGGGCTCATCCGCGTTGTCCACATACGTGATAGCCTGCAGCAGTTGCTCGTACACGGCCAAACTCGCCTCTCCCGCAATGGAGACGGTGTGGTTGCCGTCTGAGAACCACACACGAACACCGCTGTTCGCGGCCGCTGCATCAACGGCGGCCTGTGCGATGCCAAGCTGCTCCCCATCGCCAACACCATCGCTGTCCCCAACGAGAGCGACGGTCGCCCACTGCAGCACCTGGAAGTCCGCATCGCTGTCCGACACACCAACACCGGGCAGCACGACGATGGCTGGCGTGTTCTCCGTGTACGCTACATCCGACAGTCCTGACAACATGGGCGCGAGTGTGTTGGCGTCCTTAACAACCACGCGAACCGTCGTAGTGCCCACAAAGGATGTCATGACTTGGTCGCGCGCCTCTACCACCACATCGTATTGTGCGGCAACGTCCACATCCAGACCCTCTTCTGCCACTGTCAATCGCCCGGACACCGCGTCCAAGGCAAAGAAGCGCGGTGGCGATGAGCCAGCAAGGGAATACAGCACGGGCGAGGCCACAGCGTCCGCGTCCGTGGCGGTGATCACGCCAATCAACTCGCCAACCGACGCGGTCTCAGACACGTTGTAGATGAGCGCGCCGGGCGCGGGCAGCTGTGGTGGCGAGTCGTTGACGTCCTCAACGGTGATGCGCAGTACCGCCGTCGTGCTGAGGGAGACGGGCGTGCCGTAATCCGCAACGACAACCGTGCATTGCAGAGTGGGCTGTTCCTCCCGGTCAATGTCGGCTGCCACCGTGACGCTGCCGCTGGTGTCGATGCTCACAGCAAGCACGCTTTCTCCGCCTTGTTGCACGAGGCAGTTTGTCTGGTTGTCGGCCGACAGCTGGAAACGCACACGCGCATTGTCGCCGCCGTCTGCGTCTGTTGCCTGCAGCTGCGTGATTGGCGTGCCAATCTCGCTGTTCTCCGTCACGCGCGCCGCAAACGAGGACATGACGGGCTCTGGCACGTTGTTGTTGACGTCCACAACCATCACGGTCACCGACGCAGACGACGCCAGCGCTGCGTCGTGGCTGTCTGTGGCGATGAGCGTAATGTCGTAGCTCGTGCGAACACTAAAGTCCAGCGGCGCCAGCAGCACCAGCGCGTACGATGTGTTGGCAAACGCAAACACCGTTGACGGTGCGCCCGTGTCATCATCAAGCACCTGCACCACAAACGCGTCAAAGGGGGGCGAGTCTGCGTCCACAATGACCAGCGGAGCCGTGAAGTTGGTGCCCACAGCGTGATCTTCGTACACACTCAACGTCAGCGGCGGCTGCACAAACTGTGGCGCCTCGTCGTTCCTGTCCAGCAGTGTAATCTGCACTGGCGCTGTCACCGTGTGCACGCCGTCGCTGACAACGACAGTTGCGGAGAATGTTGGTGATGCGACTGCTTCAAAGTCAAGCTGCCCAGCCACGCGCAGGTGTCCAGTGGCGGCGTCAATGGAAAAGGGCACAGCCGGCTGTGATTCCAGCGAGAACGACAGCGGCGACACGACGGCGCCGTCTGGATCGCTCGCATTCACCTGTAGCACTAGCGTGTCCACGGGCGTGTTCTCGTACACGCTCGCTTGCAACACGCCGCCAGCACCAACCCCAATCACAGGCTGCTCGTCGTTCACGTTGACAATGTCCACAGTCACAGTGATAGTGACGGGTGCCCCGGGTGCGGGGCTTGCCCCCTCATCTGTCAGCACAACATCAAACACGTCCGGGGTGGCGTCTGCCTCGTAATCAACACCGCGCGCGAGTGCGAGGGATCCGTCATTCAGCAGTGAGACGAACCGCGGTGCTTCGCCCGTTGCCAGCGCATAGCGCACACGCCCGTTTGCGCCTGCGTCTGGGTCTGTAGCACCTAGCGATGCAAAGACAGCGCCAACTTCTGCGTCCTCGCGCACGTTGTAGGTGGGTGTGGTTGTGCCACCAGGCAGGCGCGGGTTGTTGTCGTTCACGTCGAGCAGCGTCACCAGCACAGTGGCGGCTGCCGTGTCCCCGCCAACATCCTGCACGTACACAGTGAGGTTGAACGCGGCATGCGCCTCACGGTCAAGGGGCGCAACAACGCGCAGCGCACCCGAGCTCACGTTCACGGCAAGCGACTCCGTTGCGTCGAGGAACACGTCGCCGTCACGCCGCCCCAGCTCAATACCAAAGAAGAGGACGGGCGGGATTGGCGCGCGACCACCGTCAGCAAGGCCATCGCCGTTGGAGTCGTGGTCCGGGTCCGACACATTCAGCTGCAGGAGCTGCGTGTTCACCTGCACGGCCTCGCTCACGTTGAGTGCAAAGGTGGGGTGAGGTGCCGGCGTTGGCGTGCCGTCAGCGGTGAGGAACACGGGCACCTCATCCTGCAGGTTGTTCACGTTGACCACGACGCTGATGAACGACGTGCCGAGCGACGCGTCGAGGGCATCCGTCAGCGACACGACAAGAAAGTACTGCGGCTGCGTCTCGTGGTCAAGCGGCACCGTTGTGGCGAGCGTGCCGTCCTGGGCGATGCTGAACTTGCCCTGCTCGTCGCCAGCAGCGATGGTGAAGCTTGCGATGGAGAATGCGTCGGAGTCGCGGTCCTCAAATGGAAGCGCGCCTACCTCGCCCACCACGCCTTCGTCCACGGAGAACGCCAGGTTGGTGTCGAGGAAGGCGGGCGCGTTGTTGTTGACGTCTTGGACGCTGATGCGGTGGGTGGCGTGTGTTGACCACCGCCCGCCGTCGCGTGCCGTGACGTTCACCCAGTATGCGTTCTGCTCGGTCCAATCCAGCTTCTGCGCCACTTCCACCGCGCCAGTGGCCGCGTTGTAGGAAAACGCTGTCGTGGGGGTGCCGTTGCCGTCAGCTGCACCGCTGCCAGCAAAGAACGCAACATCCACGTCAGGCGGGGAAGCAACACCCTGTGGGCCTGCATCCCGATCTGTTACGACAATGGTCAGCACCACGGTGCCAATGCTTGCATCCTCGCTGACGCTGGCGGGGCTCGTCGGCGGGTCGAAGACAATCTCGGGCGCAAACTCGTTCACGTCCTCCACGTCCAACGTCACGCTGATGGGCACGGAGTGGACACCATCAGACACGACGACGGTGACCGACCGCTGTGCATGCTGCTCATAGTCAAGGGCGCCCGCAAGGGCGACGCGAAGCAGCGCATCTGAGGCCGTGGCCTCACTGCCGTCGTCGAAGCTGTTGTCAACCTCAATGGAGAAGAGCGCATCGCTGTTGCCAATGACGGTGGCCACGGCAAGGTCGGTGTCCTGGTCGGCATCGTGCAACTGGAAGGAGGCAAGCCAGACGGGTGGCGCCACGTCTTCGCGCAAGGCAAGCGACGCCGTCGTGGCGTTGGTCGTTGGCGGGTTGTGTTGATGTCCGTCACAAACACCTCAATCAGGCCGCTGGTGGCCTGGCTCGGCGAGCCGCCATCCCTGCACAGCACATGCAAGAACGCCGACTGGAAGCCGAGCTCGTAGTCGAGCGTCTGCAGCAGATACACGCTGCCATCGGAGCCGATGCCAAAGGACCCAAACGACGTGTCCAGAAGCAGCTGGAAGCCAACAATGGCGCCGTCTGCACCGGCATCTGCGTCCGTGCACGTCACGGTGGCCACGATGCTGCCGGGTGTCGTGTCCTCCCTCACGTAGATGGTGTGCGGGTCAACAAGGACGGGCACGTTGTCGTTGGATTGCTGCACATCCAGCTGCGCGTACACGTCTTCACTCTCCAGGCCATCCACATCCAACGCGCGCACCGCCACCGTGCGCACGCCGGGCGTGGGCTCTGCAAGCTCGTTCCTGTAGCGCACAAAGCCAAGCACGGTCGCCGCCTCCACGAGCGACGCGGGGCGGCGGAACTGCACAAACACCTCCATCTCGCTGGCGCTGGGACGGGTGCTGTCCACATCCACATCAAGGCCAAGTGCCCAGGCCACGCCTTCCTCGTCCACATACAAGCCTTCGTCGCCCGTCACATCCATCATGTCGCCATCACTGCTGCCATCGCCAGTGTCGCGGATGTTGGAGAGATGCAGCCGCAGCCCTGCCAGTGGTTGGCCCTCCGAATCGGAAATAAAAGGGCGCGTGATAATGTCGGACACCACAAGCGCGTCGAGCTCAGTGGCAGGAACGGCAATAAACGCGTAGGCGTTGCGGCTGCACGCCACGACGTTGGCGCATGTGCCTGGGATGGCGCTGCCAGAGTCGCGTGGAAACACGCGTACATACTTCACGCCGGCCGTGCTTGTGGGCAGCACGAACGAGGAATCTGTCGCCAGGCGCACGGTCCCGCTCTCAACAAAGGATGAAGGGTTGCCGCTGCTGTCGGTTGACGTGGCACGGTACAGGCTGATGCGATAGGCGACGGTTGCGCGCTGGGTGCCCGAAACCGTGCCGCGCACAGACCCAACAAATGATGGGCTGTTCGCGCGGTTGAAGGCAACGGTGATGTTGTCAAACCGAGAGATGTGGCTTATCTGCGGTGCTGTGCTGTCGGGCACGCGCACGGAGAACCCGCTGCCCACCGTAAACGCATCCAAATCCAACAGGGGTGGATCGTTGGTGTTCACCACAAGCAGACGCGCAGTGAAGGTGGCGGACACGGCCTGGTGCGTGTCAATCACTTGCACGGTGATGGTACGCGTGCCTGCGGTGGGCTCCGCACGGCGGTTTGCGTACGCGATGGAGCGGAGGTACGCCTGTGCCTGCGCTGGTGTCATCACCCCCTGCCGCAGCAGTGCCCATGACGTGTCGCCAACTTGTGGCTCAAACTGCGCGTCTGCATCCAGCATGGAAAACACCTCCTGCTGCCCGCCATCAAGCAGGCCGCCCACAACCACGCGCAGCGCCAGGATGTTGCTGTCCACGTCCTCCACCGTGATGCTGGGCAGGAGCAAGAGCGGATCACCCGCGTCGTCGTGGTCCTCCACATACGTGTTGGCGAGGATTGACATGCTGCTGCTGCTGTTGTTGTTGTTGTTGTTGTTGTTGTTGTTGTTGTTGTTGCCACTGCCATCGCCAGTGGAGTGCTCCCAGCCAACAACGGGTGCGGAGTTGACGCCAGAGAAGGCGATGGTGACACCTGCGCTGTTGCTGGTGTCCTCGCCATCAGAGGCCGTGACGACCAGCAGCGTCTCCACGCTCGGGGCAACCGAGAAATCGTTGTTGTAGGTGACGAGCGAGGCCACGGCTTCCTCAAACACAGACAGCGGTGCGGGCCCACGCAGTATGAGGTGGGAGGCGCTCACACGTTCAAGAGACAGCGGTGAGGAAGCAGCGCCCGATGACGAGAAGTCCAACTGCTCGCCGGACTTGAGCGTGCTTGAGATGCGCACAGCAACCCAGGTCAGGTTGGCACTGTCGCTGTCCGTGATGCGAAGCACGTTCTGCAGCGGAAGCACGGCACCATCGCCCTCCCGGTACCGAAATGCAATGTTGTCTCCATCCGGGGACCCCTCCCGTGCAAACAGCACAACTGGAGGGTCGTTCACCAGCGTCACGCCAACCGTCGTCGTGGCAGGCACAGACCACACACCAGAGGTGGCAGCTGCCTGCACAGATGACGAAGACGAAGACGATGACGACGAAGAAGCATCGACCATGCTCTGCTGCTGTTGCTGTTGCAACACCCGAATGGTGACACGACGAGGTGTTGGGGTGGGCTCATCCACCCTGTTGACATACACGACACGGTTCAGTGCGGAGAGCACGGCTGAAGCAGACGCGCTGCTGCCTTGCTGCTGTTCTTGCTGCTGCTGTTCTTGGTCAAACACCAGTTCGAGCCGATGCCACGACCCATCAGCGGCAAAGGACGATGAAACGGTGAATGGGTCGGCAGAACCGGCGTTCATCACTTGCAGGCGATCGCTTCCGCCTTCAAGATCATCCAGCCTGTTCTCCAGTGTGAGCATGGCGCGCGTGTATGCGGGGTTGGGCGCGTTGTCCAGCGACAGGAGCCGCGTCGTTTGCAGCGGTGCCACGCGCACGCCTTGCTCGCTGCCTTCGACAAACTCCACTGTTGTGTCCACGAGCCACTGCAGCGTGTCTGACGCCAGCGGGTCTGCTGATGCGCTCAGGTCCAAGATGGGCCGTTCATCCAGCACGGGCGTGACGCGCACGCTGACACGCCCCAGCACAGAGCCGACCCCGCTGCTACCGTTACTACCGCTGTCACTGCCACCAGCATCAGAGCTCGACTGGGCAGGAGAGGAAGTGGCGGCGTAAACAGTGACCGTGCGCAATGCGAGGTGCGGCTCCACAGCCGTGTTGGTGAAATGCAGCGCGCGCAACACACGCTGTGCTTCATCGAGGGAGGCGAGGTTGGTGATGTTGACGGCATTACCGGCGAGTCGCTGCACGCGCACGCTCGCGAGCGCGCTTTCATCGCTGGCACCACTCAACACGGCAACCAGCTGGCCGCCACAGGGGCTGGCGGAAGCGCACTGCACGGCGCGCACCACATCCGCAGCCGTGGTCGTCTCCCCGCCAACGAGTGCGACATCGGTAATGACGGCACCTGTGAGCGATGACGAAGCAGCAGCGGGCGCTCCGCCCAAATACAGCGGGCCAGGTGCGTCTTGAAGTGCACCCGCAGACACACCAGCCACGTCTCTGGTGGACAGGACAATGGCCGTGGCTTCGTCCACGACTTGCTGTTGGACCCGTGTTGCTTCCAGCTGCCACGAGGGGGAGGAGAATGTCGACCAAGCGCCTTCACCGACACCCGCTTCGGCGTTGATGTTGGCTGCGATCAACACTGGCGGCTGCGCCTCCCCGGGTGTTGTTGACGAGAAGGCGACGATGGCAAAGTGCTCTGGCAACAGCGCGTCCTCTGTGTCACCGGCATTGCTTGGCAGTTCAAAGGTGACAATGTGGCGCAGGAGCTGGCCGCTGTCGACGCTCGCAGTGTCACGCGCTTCCATGGACACACGCAACAGCCATGAGTCATCACCAACATCAGGGGCAACAACAGCCATGTCCAGCACGAGCCGGCCATCAGCTGCCTCCTTGCGCAGCAACGTCCCCGCGGTGCCTGCAGGCAACGCCGCGTGCACCCAAATGGCAAGCGGCCACGCCCCGTCGTCACCAGGAAGCTCCTGCGCTTCTGGGCGGAGCGCATCGCTGTCAAACGTCACAAAGGCGCTTGCGTCACCAACACCACCACTTGCTTCGCCATCACTAACGGTGAACGGCAGGTCACTGTCATAGCTCCATGATCCAAACAGCACATTCGTGTTGTTGAACACGGACGCCGCTGAAGCCACGCCGCACTTGCGGGCCGTGGTTGGGAGCAAGCGGCGACGATAAGGCGGTGTTTGAGCGCAGTCCAGCTGTGTGGTGGGATCCAGTTCACCCGCCGTTGTTGCGCTGCTGCCGGCTATGTGCGCGCACACAGCAAGCCAGAACACGGAAGATGGCGAGGAGTCTGCATCTGTGAGGCGCGCACCATCAAAGAGCGGCACAGGCGCGGCGTTCTCGCCATAGGTGATGTTGGCGTTGTCGGAAAGCCACAAGACAACTGGGTTGTCGTCGACGTCGGTCACTTGCACGCGAACGAGGACGTCTGTAGATTGGGGTTGCGGGATGCCGTTGTCGCTGATGCGGATCACAAACGCATGAGACGTTTCTTCCTCAAAGTCCAAGCCATCCCCGGCAACAACCAGGCTGTTGCCCTGCACATCAAACGGCACAGTGACGCCAGGATTGGCCTGCAAGGAGAACGACAGCACGTCGCTCGTGTCTGCGTCGACTGCATTGATCACATGGACGGTGGTACCAATGGGTGTGTTCTCCTGAACCGCAAAACGAATGCTTGTGCTTCCATCAGCAAGCATGGGGGCGTTGTCGTTTGCGCCATCCACGTTCACCACCAGCGTGTAGTACGCCATTTCCTCTCCAGTTGCATCCCTGATGGCAAGCAATGCCTCGTGCCGCCACTCCGACTCGAAATCAAGTGGTTGCTTCAACACCATGGACCCGTTGCTCAGCACCACAAACGGCGCGTCGGTTGCGGACGACGCATTGACAACGGAAAACCACAATTGCTGGCCCTGGTCCTGCTGCTGCTGCTGCTGATTGTCCTGTGTGTCTGGATCGGTGGCGACAAAGGCGCCAAGAGTCACGCCAGTCTTGAGCGCTTCCGTTGCGTTGATTTCGATGCGTCCAAACAGGGACGGGGTGCCATCGGCAGCACCCTCACGCGTGCGCGGTGGCTGATATTGCTGCACAGCAGCAGCGGACACGGCAGGCGCAACAACGGGGACGCTGGTGGCGTCTGGTGCATTGTCGCGGAGGCGTGTGTTTGGTTCGAAGCGCAGCAGGCGGGGCGGCTCATCCTCAATGTTGGTGATGTTCACACGCACGCTGATCAGGGAGGAGAGCTGTGGTGTGCCTGCGTCCTGTGCTCGCAACCGCGCGCGGATGTGGGTGGTTGTCTCGTAGTCAAGCACGCCAACAACCACCACGCGCAGGGTTGTGGTGGACACGGCATTTGCGCCCGCCTGCCGCACATCAGCAACGTGCAGGGCAAGGTTGTCGCTGGCGGGCGCATCTTGATCAACTGCCAGCAGGGAGAAGGAGAGACGAGAGTTGTTGTAGGATGCGTCTTGATCCTGCACCACCACGGTCGCGCAGACAAAGGCATCGTTGCTGTCCGCGGTGGTTGTGTACACGCCCTCTGGCAAGACACAGGCAATCTCGCCCACGCTGAAGGCTGGCGCGTGCTCGTTCACATCCTGGACGCGCACGCGCAGGGCTGCATACGCAGGAAGCGGCTCGCTGCTGCTATCAACCGCAACGATGGTCACGTTGTAGAGCTGGACAGCCTCATAGTCAAGCCCGGGTGCGGTGATTTCAACGGCGCCCGTGTTTCGGTCAATGCGGAAGGGAAGTTGCGTTGCAGACGCGGCATCCCCCTCAGCCACCGTTACCCACGCAGGTGTCTCGCCGTGGCCAGTGCTTGGAACGCTGCTGGCAGCGACGTATGCACGCCAGGCGCCAATGTGGTACGTGACGTCTGCGTTTGGTGCCGTGTCCAGGGTGTCCACTGCAGAGAAGTGTGCCACCATGGTGCCAATGGCGGTTGACTCTGGCACTTGCACACGCTCCTCATCGCTGTCGAACACGGCAGCGTTGTCGTTGATGTCGAGGACGTTGACGGTAACATTGACGCTGGTGGCACGCGGTGGAGTGCCGGCATCGGTGACGGTCACCGTCAGGTGGTAGCGGGTCGGGTTGCGGTTATCACGGTCCAAGCGCACGTCATTGCGGTACAGCGTGCCGTTGCTGGCGTCGATGTTGAATGGCAGAGAAAGCGCATCGCCTCGTCCACCATTGAGTGAGTAAGCGATGGGGACGACACCCGTGACTGGGATGTAGCCTGTCGCAGTTGTGATGCCAAACGCCAAGCGCCCGTTGTCACCGGAATCAGGGTCCGAAACACCAACAGCGCCCACACGGGTGTTGGTGGGTGTTTCTTCCGCCACGTCAAACTGAAACGACGGCTGAACGGATGCAGGTGCGTGGTCGTTGATGTCATTGACGGTGACGGTGACACGAAGGCTCGTCTGCTGTGGTGGAAGGCCGCGGTCTGTTGCCGTGACGACAAGCTCAAAGGCGTGCGGGCCTGTTTCATAGTCCAGGCGGCGCGCAAGCTCAATGGCATAGCCGTTGAGTGTAAAGTACGCCTCATCATCGTCAGCACCACCACCACCACCCGCACCACTACTACTACTACTGCTGCTGCCACCATTCCCCACGTCGGTGATTGTCTGTGTCAGTGCAAGGTCAACCTCGCCAGCGGCGCCAAGGTCTGCATCCTCGACGCTCTGCAGCGTAACGACGCGACCGCGAACAGGCGATTCCTCGTCAATGGCCAGAGAAAAGTCGGCAGATGGGGTGATTTGGGGCGCGTTGTCGTTGATGTTGAGAACACTGACAGTGAGCGCGGATGACGTTGTCACGCCAGCACCAGCAATGCTCGCCTGCACAGAGAGGATGTACCGCTGCCTGAGCTCGTAGTCCAAGCCTGCGCTGCCAACCACAACGCGGGCAGTGCCTTGCTGTGTTGATGGGTCAGCGTTGGCTGCCTCGTCAACAACAATGTCGAAGGGTGCTGCTGCGTCATCAATGGCAAAAGCCACTTGCAGGGCAGGGTCAGGGCCGAGCACGTTGTAGGGAGAGGAGAAGGTGATTTGGGCAACAAGATTGCCCGCGTCTGCCGCCTCGCTCAGCTCGACGGTTGCTGGCGTGATGGTCAGAGTGAGGCACTCATCGCCACACGGGCTGCACAACACGCCGGCACCATCACCATCACCAGCAGCATCGTCGGTCGGGTAGAATCGAGGCGGGCAGGTGGCAAGGCAAGTGCCGTTGGCCAAGTGGACGTTGGCGCATGATGCGCAGTCACTGGCGGTGGGGCCGGTGCAGCCGCCCTGGCATTGTGGGTGGCAGGGTGTGCACCCGTTGGTGGGGTCGCTGCCAAAGCCAAAGGTGTCTGGGGCGCACTCATCGCAGGAGAAACCACGCACGTTTGGCTTACACGTGCACGGGTCTGCCCCGTCCTCCGCACTGCACACGGATGCCCCATCCACTGTGCCTGTTGGATTGCACGTGCACAGCTCGCAGCCATCTGGGTTGCTGGCTTGCAGGTTGACAAACCCAGGGGCACACGTGTCGCACTTGATACCAACCACGTTCTGCTTGCAGGCGCACTGGCCCGAGCCCTGCTGGCACGTGAACGCGCGCGAGCCCCTCGCGTCGCACGCACACGGTTCACAGGGGTCTGTGCTGTTGATGGCGACGTTGCTTGGCAGGTAGTAGGCATCGGCGCACTGACCGCATTTGGGCCCTGTGGTGTTGGCGCCGCAGTCAACGCACTGGCCACCGCCAGACAGGTTGCTCGTGCCCGACTGCCCGGCGAGTGTTGCATTGAACATGCACGCGTTTGCGTGGCCGTTGCACTCACAGGGCTGGCACTCGAATGATGGCTGGTCGACGATGGAGGGCTGCCACTGTGCGTCATTGAGGAGGGTGTCGCACTCGGTGCACGCCGTGCCCGTGGTGCCATGCTCGCACTGGCACGCAAAGCCCGTTTCCGGCCCGCACACCTCCGCGTGTCCGTTGCAGACGCACGAGCCCGCGACAGCCACGTCACGCAGGGCGTAGTAGCGGCCCTGCTGCAGGCTGAGGAAGCCATCGAGAATGCCGTGATCCAGGAAGCGGATGCGGATGCGCCGTGCCTGCGAGAGTGCAAGCAGGGTCTCGCTCGCTTGCCAGGTGCTGACGTCACCGGCAGCGGCCAGCACGCGCGCGTCTGTGAAGGGCGTCAGGGTCACGGTGCGCTGGAGGCCGAGCACAGCCGGGATGCAGATGAGTGGAGAGCCGCCGTCAAGCAGCGGCGTGGACACGGCAGGTTCAGGGCATGATTCCCGCACAGCGACGATGTGGCGGTAGCTGGTGTCGCCACTGTCGCCGTCAGCGCCACTGGGTGAAGAAGTTGGGGAGAAGAGGATGTCGTAGGCGCGTGGCGAGTAGCCCTGGAACTTGAGGGTGATGGCAGTGACATGCTGCTGCACGGGCAAGGTGAGGGTGAGGTTGACCTGATCGATGCCCCGTGGCGCCTGCCAGATGGTGGTTGGATCCTCATCCAGGGCAAACTCCGGGTAGAACGCGCCCGTGCCCGTGCGAATGCGAGCTGTGCCGCTGATGCCCTGGCCCTCGCTTGCTGCGGTTGCGCACTGCGTCGCGTCCGCGCGCAGGAGCAGCGGGTAGGTGCGCGGGCACAGGCACGTGCTTGCAGGCAAGCGAGCGCCGCCAACAAGCGCAGTCAGCGCCGGCTCGGTACGGAGGGCGGCCGTGCTCAGGCTCGCTGCCTCCTGCTCCACAAGTGCGGCGTCTGCCGCCATGACACTGGCCAGCGTGCCCATGTAGTTGTCCTGCGGCGCGACTCCAGCTGGAGTTGCACCAAGGAAGAGGCGGTCTGGGCCACAGATGCCAAAGGACTGCAGGATGGGCACGCAGCGCATGAAGTCTGGGTAGGTGGGCAGTGCCGCTGTTGCTGCAAAGGCACCGTCCACGTAAGCGGTGGCCCGCAGCTGATGCAGGGCAAACACGAGGTGGTGCTCTGCGCCATCGTACAGGGAAGAGGGAATGGCGAGCGGCACGCTGAACTCTTGCAGCTGCCGGCTGTCCACAAACGCGGTGTACTGCAACACGAGCCGCTGCCGTTGCGTGTCCACCTGCAACTCAAATACCAGCTCGTCATCCTCCGTATACACGCCAACCAGCGGCCTATTGAATTTCAGGCGGGGGAAAGCATGGATGGAGGTTAAGTGAGCATGTGCATGTATGTGCATGTGTGTGTGTGTGCGTGTGTGCGTTCGTGCATGTGTGTGCATGTGCATGTGTGTGTGTGTGTGCGTTCGTGCATGTGTGTGCATGTGCATGTGTGTGTGTGTGTGCGTTCGTGCATGTGTGTGCATGTGTGTGTGTGTGCGTTCGTGCATGTGCATGTGTGTGTGTGTGCGTGAGCATGTGCATGTGTGTGCGTTCGTGCATGTGTGTGCATGTGCATGTGTGTGTGTGTGTGCGTGTGCGTGAGCATGTGTGAGTGTGTGTGTGTGTGTGTGTGTGCGTTCGTGCATGTGTGTGTGTGCGTGAGCATGTGTGAGTGTGTGTGTGTGAGTGTGTGCGTGGGTGCGTTCGTGCATGTGTGCGTTCGTGCATGTGTGTGTGCATGTGTAATTGCAATAGAGACGGTCTCTGCGTCGGGGAGGTGGCATGAAAGCAAACAACAGAGGGCAAATGGATTATATTGCAATTGCTTTGCATGCACGCACAGACGTGTTGGGTGGCACGTGTACCTTGAGTCGAAAAACGATGGCGTGAGCGCGAGGGAGAAGGCAATTGAGGGCACGGTGGGCAGGGAGAACGACTCGTCCAAGGGGATGGAGTACACCTCCGTGCCATTCAAGGTAACGCGCTCCTGTGCGGGCCAAAACAAGGAACAGGGGCAAGAAACGTGAGACACTGTTGCAAAGGAAGTGTGTGTGTGTATGTGTGTGTGTGTGTGTGTGTGTGTGTGTGTGTGTGTGTGTGTGTGTGTGTGTGTGTGTCGATATTGGGTTATCATAGGCTCTTGGCCCTCCATCCAGGCTCTAACAGGACAGACAACAAGCTTGGGGGCCTAGTCGAAGCAGCTAAAGGATGCATTAATATTGTGATGTTTACCTCCTGAGGGCTGTTCTGTACTTATTGCCCTTTGAAACAGTCTCACCGATAATACCCCCCCAGGGGTCGGGCCGTCAGCATAGCGATTTAGTGTGAAATACTGTCAATGACCCCCTAGATGGACTCATTTCCCCGCCTCCTTTCAGGAACGATTATCCCCCAGTTTTATCCCGAGTGCCTCTTTCTCATCGCATTGTCGGGCGGCCCGTGACCTGAGTGTAGTAGAGTAGTGTGTGTGTGTGTGTGTGTGTGTGTGTGTGTGTGTGTGTGTGTGTGTGTGTGTGTGTGTGTGTGTGTGTGGCCTGACTGCATGTCTCAGCGAAGTGACGAGTTCAATGAATGTCAAGCAGTGTGCGAATCAAAGCGGTTTGTAGGACTTGATGCTCGCAGCACTTGGGTGGAAGAGGGAAGATCAGAACTGAACTGCACGAGTGCATGCAACCGCGTGTACACGACACTTGCACATGTGCATATCATGTGCAAACTTGTGCATCCGTGCTTGCACACACACAAGCGTATGTGTACGCCCATGTTCACACACACACACACACACACACACACACACACACACACCGCGCTCACGTTTGGAATTCCGGCAAGGGGAAAGAGGGGCGTGAGCTGTGCTGGGATCTCTGTGTTGGGACAGTCGTTGTTGCACACGCGAGTCTGGGAGCAGCGCAGAGGGTTGCTTGCAAGTTCGCAGTAGTCTGTTGCAGCATCACTGGTGCCACACGTGGCTGACGCCTCGATGCTGCTGGCGTAACGTTCGAGGTGTGCTGTGGCTTGGGGGAACGCTGGGTTTGGCACCTCTGCCGCCACGGCACACAAGCACGTGCTGGTGAGCAGCGTGACAGCAGCCAAGAGCAAGAGTGCTGTGGCAGCGGCGCGGCGTCGTGCCGTGGACACGAAGCCATGAGCCGCCGATGTTCTTGCCATCAAACGCTCACGTGGCCGCATGCCTGCATGTGCACTGCTGCCGGTGCAGCTGGTGTAGCTGTTTCTGTGTATGTGGTGCTGTTGCTGGCGGCCACCTTGAGGCCCTGAGAGAACAGATGGCCTCATACGGCGGCGCACCATCGCTGGTGGGCTTGCTGGGGGGTGAGAGAGCTGCCTGGCCTGTTTGCGTAACGGCCGCTCCAAAAGCTAGTCAGTCAGTGCAGCGGTTGAGATGGGTGTGCGATTGTTGTTGTCCTTGTGTCTGTTGCGAGCGATTGCAATAGCCTTTGTGTTTGCGTTGCACGAGGAGGGGTGTGTGAAGATGCAAACAGACTGCTTAAGGGGCTGTCTGCGATGCGTGTGCGTCTGTATGTATGTATGTATGTATGTATGGGTGAGGTTGATGGCCGACGGTGTGACGGTCGTGTGCTTGTGGCTGTTGTCTTCCTTCAGCACCAGCGTTAACGCTCCGCCCACAACAACACAATAATGGCTGCGGAGTTTTTGCTTGCCTGCAAGCAAGCAGGCGGTGGGTGCGGCGGAAGAACAATTTTTTTATTTTGTGGAATTCTCAAATGTAAACGCTGATTGGTCGGTTGTCAATTCAAACAAGAGGAGGGGGGGGGGGGGGGGCAAGATGGCGAGGATGGCGAGGATGGCGAGGATGGTGTGTGCTTGTTGAAGTGCCTGCGGTGGCTGAACCGGCCTCTAGTTTGTGTGTCTGTGTGTGGTGATGAACGTCATTGATCCCGATTGCGTGGTTCGTGCACACACGATGCATACACACACACACACGTGTTCACATGCTCACATGATACACAGTGGAAGTGGTGCACTTTCGTCATTCGAGGGGAGGCAGGTCGTTGCTGTGCAGCCTGCCTTCATCTGCGAGCCGCTTGAAGTGCTCTGCTGTGCGACGGATGCACTCGTCCAACGGCAGCGGGAAGGGCTCCTTTGAAATGCGCGATTGGTGTGCCAGGAAGAGGGAGAGGGGAAGAGAAGCAGGGAAGGGGGAGGTGGTTCGATTAGTACAGTGCTGCTGCTGTTGTTGTTTAAGTTGTTGTTTAAGTTGCTGTTTAAGTTGCTGTTGTTGTTGTTTAAGTTGTTGTTTAAGTTGTTGTTGTTGTTGTTGTTGTTCAAGTTGTTGTTGTTGTTGTTGTTTAAGTTGTTGTTGTTGTTTAAGTTGTTGTTGTTGTTGTTTAAGTTGTTGTTGTTGTTGTTGTTGTTGTTGATGATGATGTGCACTCACACAGACACACAGACACACACACACACACACACACGTGCGCACCTTGAGGTCGTGAGGGGCGGGGACGGACTTGAGCAGGGCTGTGAGCGCAGACTCATCAGTGTCGGCCATGATGGGGATGGAGGGCCCCTTGATGTCAATCAGCTGCCCAGCCTCTGGCAGCACTTGCTTCACTGCAAATAGGAGAAAAAATGAAAGGCCAGGATAGGGTGTGAAGGTGAGTGTGCCACGGTCGATGAGTGCCAGCAACACAATCAGAAAAGCGAGCGCAAACGCAACGCATGTGCAAACGTACACAAGCAACACACACATACACACACAAAAACAAACAAACAAATGCACAAACAAACAAATGCTCAAACAGACGCACACACACACACCACACATACACACATTCACACATTCATACACGCACACATTCACACATTCATCCACGCACACATTCACACATTCATCCACGCACACATACACATTCGTACACGCATAAAACACTTACGGATCTCAACAAAGTGCTCGGAGGTGTCGACGACACCACGAATGTTAAAGGCGGGAGCACCTTCAACAGAGGCGCGCATGCAGCCCACGAAGATGCGGGCAACATCCTCCACATACGAGAAACCGGTCGTGCCAGAGCACGTGACAGTGTACTTGCGGCCGAGCACGGTGGCCTTGATGGCCTTGGTGGGCGCGGAGGTGAGCCCAATCTCGCGTCCAACGCCAAAGCAGGTGAGCGGCCGAAGCCCCACGCTCGGCATCTGGTGATCCTGCCAGTACAGGCGCGCGCAGCCCTCATTGCACAGCTTGAACACGCCGTAGATGGTGCCGGGCTTGTGGTAGTAGTCGTCAGGCACGGGCGTCTCCGTGTATGCGGATGGTGGGCCCAGCACGGCTGCAGATGACGCGTACACAATCATGGGTGGCTTACCACCCGTCACCTCCTGGCACAATTGTGCACGACGTTGGTGAGAGTGGGAGGGCGAGGGGTGTGTTGGGAGGAGTGAGATGGTGGTGCAATGATTGGTCGCACCAAACACACACACACACACACACACATGTGTGTGTGTTCATTCAGAACAGCTGCTGGACACACCCATCACGGTTCACTGGCATTCAAAAGGTGGGAAGAGGCGGAAAAGGGCTCGAAAAGTACAACAGGCAGGCGGATAAAGGCAAAACGGCGCACGCACACGCACACGCACACACACGCACACACACACACACACACACACACACACACACACACACACACACACCGCACTCACACAAATACACCAGCTCATAACAAACATTCTCACACACACACACACACACACACAAAACCACGAGCACAAACACACACAATATTCATCAACACGTGCTTGTCCTGTGGCTCACCCGAAGGGCCTTGGCGGCTTCAAAGACGTTGAGGGTGCCGATGACATTGACCTGGGCGCCAAGGACCGGGTTGACCTTGCAGGTCGGGATCTGCAGACCCGCGAGATGGATGATGGCCGTTGGCTTGCACTCCAACACCAAAGAACGCACATGTTCCGTGTCGGAAATGTCGCCTGTAACGTAACCGTGAACAACAGCAGCAGCAAACAAAAACACAGCGCAGATGGTGTTTAGAACAGCAAGTGAGCCGGCACTTGCAACAAACGTGCACGGCTCACTGAAGTGTGCACAATCACACTGAAGACTGAACGATAATGTACATTCACACTGAAGACGGAACGATAATGTACATTCACACTTAAACTCAGTCACAGCCACACATTGACCCACACACGCACACACACTCACACACACACACTCACACACACACACACACACACGCACGCACACACGCACGCACGCACGCACGCGCACACACGCACACACAAGCCAGCGCACCATAGTGGCGCTCCAGCTTGAGCATCTGCTGTGGTTGGAGGACCTGCTCCAGGATGCCATTGTTTTCCTTGAGATCAAAGATAATGGGATGCACGCCCTCATCCAGGAGCTGCTTCACCACCCATGCTCCAATGAACCCTTGTCCGCCCGTCACAAGCACGCGCTCTGCCAACACCCGTGCATGTGTGATGTGAGGATTGTTGGCGATGGCCACAGGGCCAAGACAACCAGCAGCATCAATGTGACATATGACAAGTCAGGCGCACACACACACACACACACACACACACACGCACACACACACACACACACACACACACACACACACACACACACTCTCTCTCTCTCTCTCTCTCTCTCTCTCTCTCTCTCTCTCTCTTCTCTCTGTTTGTGTGTGCCACTGAACCACATCACACCAACAAACCAGAGGCCATCATGAGTGTTGAAGTGCGACACGATAAAATGCATTTTCACGGAACCAGATGGCTTTGGTTGTGGCAGGCGGCGCATGCAGACTGGCTGCAGCCAGCAGCGCTCGTGCCATTGCAGCGAGCACACCAGCGAGAAGACTGGTGTCGTTGTCATCATCATCATCATCATCAGTATCAGCGACAACAGCATCTCCCCGTTCTGTTGTTCAGCCATGCAGAAGGCAGCTCTCGACAACGATGCGGCGGCGGCAGCAGCAGCAGCAGCAGCAGCAACGACACAGCGCACACTTCTGCAATCATCGCAGGAGATTGGCGCTGTGTGAGGTGAGGGCAGGACCAGCGTCCTTGATCTCGCAGTCATTGACACTGTCGCACAAGCCAACGCTTATTGCACCGTTGGCAAGAAGAACGGTAACAACCACAACTCGTGTGCTGGAATCAGAATCGACCTCACCATCAGCGACAAAACCCGATGCCGACGCCGCATCAGATCTCAGCACGCACACAACAACAACAGCTGGGGAATCAGCAGGCACGGATGCCAAGCAACAACAAGAACAGGAACAGGAACAACAGCAGCAAGATCAGCAGCAACAAGGCACTGACGCCATGGCTGCGAGGACTCTCCATGGCACAAGGTTCAAGGAAACGGTTGGCGGCGGGCAGGGAAAGAAGCGAGGGAAGCCGCGCCGCCCCAACGTGTTGAAGGACGAGCTCAAGGGCTTGTCTCCCGTGGCGGCGGTGCGCCACGTCATCGAGGCTGCGGAGCGCGGGCGCAAGGTGCAGCGCGCACACTGGCACATGGCCCTGGAAGCGTGCAGCCGCGTCGGGTTTTATAAGCCGGCCGAGAGCGTGTTTGAGGCCATGGAGCAGCACGGCGTCAAGCCCAACCCGTTCACGTATCGCCTGCTCATCCACGTGTACGGGGTGGCCAAGCACCTGGACAAGGTGCTGCACTTCTACAACAAGCTGCAGCAGCTGCAGCACGACTCGGACCACCCCACCTTTCGCCTGCGCATCAAGGACTTCAACACCGTCCTGGAGGCCATCAGCCACTGCGGCGCGCTGCGCGAGTTTGAGCACGTGTATGCGCAGATGCGGCAGGCTGGCGCGCAGCCGGACGACAAGACGCTCGTGGTGGCCATGGCCTGCTACAGCAAGGCCGGCGTGCAGCGGGAGCTTGACTACGCTTTTGAGCAGTACGTGCAGCAGCAGGACGAGAAGTGCCTGCCGCTCTCGCCCTACGTCTTCAACGCGTACATGAGCCACTACTCGCGCGCGTGCAACCCGACCAAGTGCCGCGAGGTGCTTGATCTGTGGCGGTCGCGCGGCAGCGAGGAGAACTGGTACCTCGTCAACTCGTACATGTCCTCATATGCGCTGAGCGGCGACTGCGAGGGGTGCGAGCGCGTGTTTCGACAGGAGGTGCTTGATCGCAGCGGCGGCACCGTCACGCCCTCTGTGCTCAACACGCTCATGAACGCGTATGTACGCGCGGGGCGCGTGGAGGATGCGCGCAACGTGCTTGCCTTGTTTGAGCAGCATCGCCTCCGGCCCGAGGTCACGACGTTTATGATCCTGCTGCAGGCGCTTGCGCAGCAGGGCAACGTTGCCGCTGTGCGCGCGCTGATGACGCACATGGAGCGGCTGCGGCTCAACGCGGGGGCGCGGGCATATGCGATGCTGCTGCGTGCCATGTGCGTGCGCGGGGACCCGCCGCAGGCGCTTGAGGCGACCTTTGACAAGATGCTGCACAGCAAGATCAAGCCGCTCCCGCTGTCGTTTGAGTCGCTCTACCTGGCGTATGCGAACGTTGGGGACGCGGCCGGTTGCGAGTCCACCCTTCGCCGCATTCGCCTCCTCGGCCTTCCCCTCACAACAGCCATCAAGCAGCACCAGGGCATGGCCTCTTGAACACATGTGTGTGTGTGGGGGGGGGGGTTGTGCGGATACGTTTGCTTGCTTGTCTCTGCCTGTGTTGCTTCGGTGCATCGAACCAAAGCCTTGCGAAAAAAAAAAAGAAACCACACACAAACAAAGAAGGAAATCTGCTGCACAACCACCACCACAACAGAACAACAACCTCCAAAACATTCTTTCGCTTGCTGACCGCTGCTGGCGTCGAAGCGTGGTGGTCCTGGTGGTCCTGGTGTCACCCAACACGACAACGAAAGCAGAGCAACGTCGGCAGGGGAAGGCAGCCGTCTTTCATCGTCTCACACCCCACCCCCACCACACTCACACTCTCTCACAAAGCAACCGGTGTCATCCTCCGCTTGTCGATCTGTACATGACAATTCCCCTCCCTCCATCTCTCCTCTCTGTCTTTCCTTCTCTTCTCTCCTTCTCTCTCTCTCCCTCTCCCTCCTCTCTCCCTCTCCCCCTCCCTCTTTCCTTCCACCACACCCGCACACACACACACACCCGCACACACACACACACACACACGCACACACACACAAACACACACACATCTCCACCACACAAGACACCACGCATCACATTTAGGTGGTGTCGCGTATGCCCACGCAGCCAACACCGTGGTACGAGCGGCTGAGCGTGCGGCCACCCCCGGTTGAGTGGTACGACGACAACTGTACCCACACCCCAACACTCAACGCAAGAAGCCGGGCCCTGGCCAAGCACCGACGCGAGTCGCCAGCCAGACCACAACAACAGAACACACCCTCACCCACAACATCGGCGTCGTCCACCATCGCAACCACGTCCGCAACAGCCAGAACAATCACAACAACCACAACAACTACACCAGCAACCACACCAGCAACCACACCAGCAACAACCATATCTACCACAATAGCAACAACAACAACAACAACAACAGTCGCAACAGCAGCTACGGCTGCTGCCACCATCCTCACAGAACCTCTGCCGCCAGTGCACGCGTCGCCTTCGCCCTCTCTGTCGCCTTCGCGTGTGCTGCAGGTGCCGGCCATCACCGTGCCTGCACCGCCGGGAAGCCCACGCATCGCCTCCATCAAGCCATCATCACCACCACCAACCTCCCCCACAGCATCCACAGCAACACTCAAGCGGTCCACATCGCTGCCCGCGTCGCCATCAAGGCCGCAAGTCGGCAGAGCACCAGGCTCGCCACGATCACCACGGTCTCTGGCTCGGCGCGTCGGCGCATCACCGCAGCCAGCACGACGCTCGCCCGGCCCACGCCGCAGCCGCAGCCGCAACCTCGACGGCGAGGAGCACTTCACCTTCCGCCCGCGCATCAGCTCTGCCAGCCGTCGGCTCGCCGGCCGCCGCACCAACGGGTACTTGGAGGCGCGTCGCCAGTCCAACTTGGAGCGCATTGTCAAGGAGGCCAAGGCCGAGGAGGTGTTCCAGCCCCGGCTCAACAAGCGGTCTGCACAGCTCGTCACGTCGTCGTTCTTCGAACGCCAACAGCAGTTCCTGCACCGCAAAGCGGAGCTACAGGCTGTCAGCGACCTGTACCGGCTTGAGAGCGAGCAGAAGATGCACCGTCGCTCGCCCCCGGTTCGCATCGCCCCGCTTCCACCACCGCACGCACCAGCCGCATCCACGCACCAAGAGCACGCTGATGCCGGCCACCTCCACTCACCAACCCCAACCGCAGCAGCAGCAACAACAGCAGCAGCAGCAGCGACTACGACAGCGGGCAGGGGATTGCGCAGCCCACAGCGTCGCATCGCTGCCGTTGTTCGCCGAGACAAGCTGGCAGCAAAGGCCAAGCAACAGCAGCAACTGCTCCAACACCACCAGCACACACGCGCCACCAATACATCAAAGAATGGTGGTGGCGGCGGCGGTGGTGGTGTATCCCCGAGCAAGCGCACGGCTTTAGTTCGCCTGCGCCGCCCGCGCTCTGCCGGTGGAGCGGTTGGTGACTCAGCACAGCGCAACAAACGAGGTGGAGGAGGAGGAGGAAGAGGAGTGGGAGGACTTGAGGAAGGACAGCATGCTGATCAGATGGTTCGTCCGGCCACGGCCTCCAGTGCCCTCATTCGCCGCCGCACCCCGTCCGCAACACCGAAACCCCGCGCCCTGCGCAGAACACACTCCGGTGCGACCACGTGTTTGTGTGTTGGAGATGAGCGTTTGTGATAGTGCGTTGTGTTGTGTTGTGTTGTGTTGTGTTGTGTTGTGTTGTGTTGTGTTGTGTTGTGTTGTGTTGTGTTGTGTTGTGTTGTGTTGTGTGGGTTGTGTTGTGTTGTGTGTGTGGTGTGGTGTGGTGTATTGGGTTGTGTTGTGTCGTGTGGGGTTTGTACATGTTAATGTGCCACAGCTTCTTGAACCCCACCACGATCTTTTCGTCTCACCACCCTCATCATGTTATCAACAACAACAACGCCGACAACAACACCAGTTGCGTGTGCGCGGCCAACGGAGCACAGGGAGCGAACGATGTGCAGCCCAACACAGGAATCGCAGCACCTCGTGTCAGACCTGCTCTCCCCACGCACCACCACCTCCTCCGACAGCAGCGCCAGCAACAACAGTAGTAGTGGTGGCGGCGGTGGGACGCCAACGAGACGTGCCAGGCCTGCAGAGATGGGAGGAAGAACAACCCCAACAGGAAAGTCATCAAAGCCGCGATCAAAGCCACCATGCATCAACCAAGGTGAGGGTCTTGTGTGTGTGTGTGTGTGTATGTCTGTATGTGTGTGTGTGTGTGTGTGTGCATGCGTATGTATGTGTGTGTATGCGTGTGTATGTGTATGTGCATGCGTGTATGTGTATGTGCATGCGTGTTTGACAAACGCGAAATCTCACCACAATCACGTTGCATCACACAATGACAACAATCGCAATCACGTCACAACCCGCATTACCACCCAGAACGACTGCGTGATCTGCATGCAGCGCGTGAGGCGCGGGCAGCGGCGGTGGCGGCCGCGAAGAAGAAGAACGTGTTCACCATCTGCGGGCGCTACCAGGACCTGCGCAACGCCCTTGAACAGCGAGGATGGGTCGAAAAGCTTCCCCCACGCGAACGTGTGTGCGTGTGTGTGTGTGTGTGTGTGTGTGTGTGTGTGTGTGTGTGTGTGTGTGTGCGTGTGTGTGTGTGTGTGTGTGTGTGCGTGTGTGTGTGTGTTGGTTGTTGGTGTTTCGTTTGTGTCTTGTCATGAGTATGGATATGCATTCCTTTCAACTTGCCTGTGATCATTCCACGAGCTTACAACACTTCCTCTCCTCCTTCCTTCTTTCCTTCCTTCTTGTCAGCCGGCCTTGGTGCGAATGACGACTGCAGTGGACTGCGCATCCGCACAGAGGCGGAGATGAACAAGAAAAAGGCGCAGCTGCAGAAGCGCGCGGAAAAGGAAGGATTCGACCTGTCCGCTTCCAACAGTGTGGATGTTTTTTCCGGCTCTGAAGAGCCCGCAGATCGCGCGCTCGTCTCCCGCGCCCTCGGCGAATTCCCCGCCAACTTCATTTGGTCAGTGTGTGCGTGCGCATGTGTGTCTGTGTCTGTGTCTGTGTCTGTGTCTGTGTCTATGTGTCTGTGTCTGTGTGCCTTTGTCATTGTGTGTATGTTGTGCAGGAGGTTGATTGGCCTATGGCGGTCACTTGACACACTACTTTTGCGGCACGTACACTTATTCACGACTCACACGCGAATGCGCGCGCTCATCATGTGTAACACCCAACCAGGACGTGCCATCGTGCCGACGTTGATTTCCGCACGCTGAAGCCGGGGCAGTCTGTGAACCATTTCAAGTGCAATGGAAACATCACCACCAAGTTTGGGCTCGCTGCCTCCCTCACAAACGTTCAATGGACGTCAAATCGTGACGAAGACGAGTTTTATCCACGCTGCTACTTCATATCCAGGTGCGTGTGCTTGTGTGTGTGTGTGTGAATGTGTGTGTGTGCGCTTGTGTGTGTGTGAATGTGTGTGTGTGTTGTGTGAATGTGTGCGTGTGTGTGCGTGTGCGTCTGATTGAAGAGCTCTTGCACCAATGACTGAACGCTTGAATCACACCATCGCAACGCCACGTGGATCCCACATCAATTTCACCATCCCCATCGTACTACCACCACTACCAATAACACCATACCTTGCTTCTTCTCCCCTACCCCCCCCCCACCTTGACCGCAGTGAGGATGACTTTGTTGCGTTTGTGCGGGACTACCGTCTCAAGGCCGCCGTGTCTGTGCTCAAGCGCATCAACGAGTGGTCTCCGCCAAGACAGATCTTCGACTTTGCGCTCGCGGTGCGTGTGCATGCGTGCATCGTGTGCGTGCACAAGTGCGTGTGGATACATGGATGATACTCAGCTCACGGTGCATCAGCTCATGTCCTCACACATCGTGACACATCACCACACACAACAGCATTGCCAGCGACACATCGACATGCTGCAGCATTTGGATTTGGATGAACGTCTTCCTTCCCCCACAGACATTGAGTTTGAGACGCTGTTGCAGGTGCGGCTGTGCTGTGTTCTTTTGTGATCCCTCATCACCACATGGCGAGTGGTTTCTTTGCATGCATGCACTGCCCATGTTGCACGTCGAGTTTGATGGTGTCCTTCACGGTGTCAGCACACCAGCCTGCGCCACCCGCGATTGTTTGCTTGTCGTTCTTCTCACCATCAATGTCGCGCGTGCTCCCATCAATTCATTCAATTCTCCAGTTCACCTACGAGAAGCTTGGGTGTGCAAATGCAAGTCGGAGCATCAACGAAGAAGAAGTCAGACACTCAAACCGCGCTTGCTCTGCTGCTTGCATGCCAGGCCGCTTTTGGTTGTGCCATGCTTGTTTTCCTCTCCACACATGCCATCTTGCCACCACCTCACACCACGTCACGTCACATCACACCGCAACTGCAGCCGGAAGCATGCTCCTCATCCGATGATGACACAGATGACGATGGTGACGAGGATGATGATGACGATGACAATGATGATGATTCTGATTCTGATGATGAGGATGAACGGAAGAAAGCGCCGGTACCAAAGACAAAGAAGAAGGCGGTAAATCGCGCAGCGGCAACTGTATCTGCTTCGTCTCGCCGCGCCCTGCACCGTCTCGTCAGGTCGGCGTC